TTTGATGGTGTTACGTGAACATTAAATGATAACGTAATGAAAATTTTAGGAAACTAAGGCGGAAGTGTTCTTTTGCTGTGAAGAGTTAACGTGTGTTTGTTGTGAAATAGAATCGATATGGTTGTTGGCACAAATTCAGTCCTTGAGCGATTGACCCCCCCTACTGTGCACCTAAGTTATTGGAACCCTATCATGTAGGGTATCATTTAAGAGCTTAATTAGAGCACTGTGCGTATTTATTACTAAAATTTGTGCAAAAATTATGCAATTCAGACAAAGTCATGACAAATAAAGTTACGTTATTTTTCCCGGAAGTCGTAATATTAATCGTGATATTTTTTTTAAATTAAGCTAAATTTATGAGGGAGATAACTATTTGCAATATTTACTGTTAATTTTGATGATTTTGGCTTTTCAACTTAGATGGCTGCCTTTTTTCGGTCACGAATCCTTCACGCTATTCATGAACGTTTACGCAGATTTATAATAATCATTGTCAACGTTTGTTTTTGTTTTGATTTATTGCATTGCAAATATTTATGTAAAGTTTGATGATATTGCGCATTATTTCTGTACTATTTAACAAAAGATGACAATAAACGTGATCGTCGAAGAAGAAAGTTGTGTTGACACGGAACGCGTGCACCGTCGCGGTAGCGGTGCCAGCCGTACGAGCGCATATGCTAACCCAGACCATTTTGAGTAACGAGGCGAGATTTGATTAAAAAAATTACATTTTGTTCGTGCGCAAATGTCTAATTGATAATCGATTTTTCAATATTGAGATATTGCTATCGTCTATTACGTTTTGTGCTACCTACGATTGCCAACCCCTCGATGTTCTGCCGTTAGCACCCCCTCTCCTCACCCTCTTTTACTCGCTTTCAAGTGTTGCTGGTCACTCAACCTCCCGTCTCCGCCACGCTATAGAGCTCCCCTGTTCACTCCCCCTCCCTTCTCAGCTGCCTTGCATCCAACTCCCTCCACCCTCCCTACCTTGTTACCGTGTACATTGCCTGCTACATCTCGACACTCTTTGTTGGTTGGCTTGTGTTTGGGGGATTGTGCTGCGCGATAGTTTTCCAAAATTCTAACAAAACTCGAGTCATTCGAATCCAGAGTGTTTCTTGAGAATTCATAGCAAGTTTGTGAATGTTTACTCGAAAGAACCGTTATGGAAATGGAGTGTGTGAACGTCAGGATAGTTAGTAATTGATGAGTTATTAATGGCGCTGAGCCGCTTGCGAGTCGTACGCAAGGAGTCAGTCAGGCGATCGGATGTGCTGATCTAGTTCTCTTTACTAGAAATTTTTTCCTTTTCGCATGCGCTGTGCTGAAAGATTCGTGACATGAAAATTGCTCACGGGCTTGGATATGTTAGTGATTTCTATTGATTTTTGTTCTGCATGCATCAATGAATATGATGTTTCACGCAAATTCACGGACGAAAGTGACTAGGTATAATTGAAAATTGATCTTCAATCACTTGATTAGTTAGTGACATTCGATAATATTTATTTACCTATTATAAAATGGGGAAGTTGATTTTAAATTATATTTTAATGATTGTGAGTGAAAAAAAATACCTAATTATTTTTGTTTCATGTTATGATTTCTGTTCCTAGTTTGTTGATGAAAAATTCAAGTTAATGGCATTTCTCATCATCATTAGACTAATTCCTCTTGATGTTCTAAGTATCAAGAATGTAATTGTGCTACTGCCTAACAACTTGGCTTGGTGGTTTGGTTATTTTGGTTATTAAGTTGCCAAAATCAGTTTTTTTGGCCCAAAATATCATCAGTATTAATAGGCAATGAAATCTTCTGTTACATTAAATTTCATGCTATTGTGTCACTAGAAGTAAAACCCTTCAGATTTTTTGCTTACTTTCTGATCAGTATATGCGAGTCCACTAGTGTAACTGATGTGCAAGACTCATTTGCTGCTTATAAATAATATTGTTTTTCTGGTGAGAGTTAAGATTTTCAGCATTGGTTAACTTGCAAAAATTGCACAGCTTTTCAGATTTAGTGGAAAGTTCTTCAATTCTGTTGATATAATCATTTCTGATGGAGTCTAGCAGCTATTAATTTGATATTTAAATCAATTGATGGTAGAAAAAATAATATTACCATCAATGTAAATGAAAATTAGGGTGTTATTTTGTGAATGGTGGTTCAAATATTCAATAATGACCTAATCAGGTCACTAGTTCTGGTTTAAAAATATCAGCCAAGGTCCAAAAACAATTTATTTAGTGTTTATGATCTAAAATGCCAAGCATTTTTGCCCATCAATTACCAATTCCAAATTTCACCATGGGCTCATGGCTGCATCGTTTCAAACAAGTTCTCATTGTATTCTCTTACACTTAGAAGAAGTTGTGCTAGTTTAACACTACTGTAAAGTTTTATAGGAATTTTAATAATATGATTATTTCTTTTGGAGGCTACTCATGCATTGCTATGATTTCAATTTGGAAAATGCAATCTGCATTTTCTTTGTTGTTTGTTCACTTGCATAAAGTTGCATTGAGCAAGTGAAGGATCATACACTGGTATTGAATATATCTACCATTCAAGCTGCGACTAGAGCTTCCTGTAATTTTTGAAACCGCAAGATTCACACTAGATGAATTATCTCCAATCTAATTGTTAATAAAACTGCTAAATCAGACTGCAAGATTTCAAATAATTGAAAATTTGCGCTGTGAGATTTCATTCATAAGTAGAAAAATTCAAATTTAGGATATATATAAAAAATTAGATGATACCTATTGTGCATTGAAATCTTGAACTAGACCTATCTGAAGTGAAGCTGACATTTTAGTGCCAAGCTTATATCATGACGCAACAATACTTTTTATATGAACCATCATTTTTTTAAAGTCCATCTTGATATGTATATATTGAATATTTATATATATATAACTTTTTGTAAGACCGTGACAATGATTAGTTGTTTTTTAATGAGTAATATTAGATTAAAAAACTTTTGTCGGCTGGTCCAAACCTTAGTAAAATTGTAAAAAAGTTTATAAAAACTATTTTTACACCTCTAACCCTAACTCTAACCCAAATCTAACAAGGTTTTTGTTAATTAGCATATCCCAGAATAGAGTTTATCTTTTTTTTGTCAAACTATTGGCAAATACTAATTATGGGTAGATTCTGTGACATGGGTACTTATTGAGACAGTAATTGTGCAACATTTTGCCGCACAATATGCATAAAATTTTGCACTAATGTCAAAAATATAACTAAAGTTTTGATCAAACAATTCTGTGACTCGCCTGTCACGCTATTAATGAATGGCAACTAACTTCCTACTAACTACTACTACTACTAACTAACTAACTTCCTTTTTTTGCAATTATGTTAAAGCAAGACTCAGATCAGTAGCTCGTCATGACATGAAGTTCAGATCCTCAGCCTCAAATACTTCAGCGCTGGAACACAAACAATTAAAATCATTGTAATTTGGTTATAGAAACATTTCTTCATGTGTCTGACCTATTACTAGTGACAATACATTTGGTAATCTTCAATGACATCAGCAATTCACATAGATTTTTACTGACTATGAAACTGATCACCATGCACCCAGGCATTTGCTACAGCAGTTTTTGCCAATAACTTGAACAGTTGTCTGTATCACTTCATGCTTTGCATCAGAAGCTTGTAGAACTTGCTTAGACAAGAGCAGCGCACTAGCCCTTATCTCGCTGTCTTGTCTGTAACTAAAGTTATTCAAGTTTGAATGAGTCGCATCACTGGAATACAGGCTATTTTGCGAGTCGCAGTCAAAGTCTTAAGGTACTTTTACTACAAAATAATTAACTGGATTTCAGCACAAGTTGAGCACCACAATTACAGCACAAGTTGAGCACCACAATTACAGCACAAGTTGAGCACCATAATTACAAGTTTTAAATTTACTGTACAACTCCTTTGATATGGTGATCTTTTAGGAAATTTATATGCAAAATCATAGCATGGTTTTTTTATCGCATTTATAGATAACCTAATCATTTGGAAATATGTTCATTAAACACTTATTCTAATGAGTATAAGCTTTTCATATTGTCCGCATGAGTTTATTCTACTATTGAAAGAAGACACAAAGATAGTTCTTAACTCATTCCAACTTTTTAGCGCATTTTCTCTTTATAGAAAAATGCACTATTGTGCTCGCCATGTCTGTCTGTCCGTCTGTCCGTCCGTGACTTCACGTTTTTGTCAATTTTAAGAAGCGGGCATGCCTGTATCAAAGATACAACATCTCTAGCTCTAATGCACTGTAATAATTGCAATGAAAACTGATTTATGCACTAGAAAATGCACTCTCTGTCACTCACTGCTGTGAGTGCCGTACTGAGTTATATTTTTTATATTTTGAACTTGACATTGCATATATGCATATGTACCTTCAGAAAGTTATAGTGCAGTTAACTGTAATTAAAAAAACTGTGGGAACACTTGTTTCACTTGCCTCTTTCACTCATTAAAGTTTAAGTGCTAAGCATGAAAATAGCACACATACCTCAGACCTTGCTGTCCATAATGGCATGCTAGACAACAAACTTGAATAAGCCTATAATAAAGATAATTCAATTGGATTAATTCTGATACTTTAGGAAAGATTTCTGATAATGTAGGGAATGGAGAAGCTACAGTGGCATAAAATAGAAATTGTGTGAGAGAATCAGCAAAGTATCTATTTGACAGTATTTGTGAATAGCACTACATATAGATTCAGTTCTGGTGCTATGGTATAAATTGATCTAATTAATTGTAATTTAATGGAATAATTTACTTTTGTTCTCATCCTGTATTTGTTCTTATTTGCTCTATTAGAATGGGTTTTAATGAATATTAAATATTGTATTTATTCCAATTGTCATTTTGAGTGCTAATTTTGATAATTGCCACTATTGTCTTTTTCGATAGTATTACCTACAATACAGCAATTTCAAGTTCTCTTCTTTCCTGCAGGAATTAGCAATATGTGAAGATGAAGCAAAGCTCATCTAGCAATTGTTAGTGTACTCAGGATTACAGGACTGCATAAAGCCTGCAAATTCAGCTATATTCCTGTGGTGTAAATGTTCAGTTTATTGTCACATACTCAGTTGATATTTTATGATGTTCAGGACCTCAAGTGTGACAAGTTAGTAGTTCATTAATTATTTTTGCCTGGGTTGCCTGTTGACTGCTGCTGGCAGTGATGGATTTGAGTATCAGGTAAGTTGTGCACTCGTACAATTGAATCATGGCTTCAATATTTGAAATATTGAGAGTTTTGTAAAATTATTGACAGTCCTGATGTGCTTCTCATGATTCTCTTTGGTCATCTAATTTTTATATTGTTGGATAGCAAATTTCTCTGTACATGTTCCTCAATGTGTCTAGTTTTTGAATATCCTTTGTTACTCTTGCCTCAAATAAAATATTGTCACATTATCAGTCATTAATTCTCATACATTTTCTCTTGCTTGGTAATTTAAAGGCAAAATATATTTTGTTTATTAAAATATAGATATAATATATAGATTTTTTCCGCTGAAATGACCTGTCATCTACCTTGCACTGTGCAGCAGTAGCAGCACAAACAGTGGTGCTGCAAGTGGTACCGGTGTTCTGACTGACTTGCCCACCATGGAGGGCACCATATCACCTGGTCCTTCTCTGACCAGCGAGTCTCCCTTGGCTGCCCTCAACTCCCTCACAAGCTCTGTGTCAGCGTCTGTTGGGAGACACCACAACTCTGCAGCTACCACTGCTTCTCTTCCCAACCCTACCACCCACACAAACAATAATAACTCTGACAACACTACTAACAGTAATAACAATATCAGTGCTAACAGCAGTACTAGTAATACCAACAGGAGCAGTACACATGAGAGTGCAATGGCTCTCAATAGTATCAATAATCCCTCAGCTGTTCTGCTCAACAGTGATAAATTAGGTAAAACTCATTCAAGTTGGTCCTCTAGTGACCCAAGTGATAATAGCAATAGAACTTCTTCTTCAAGTAGGTCTATAAATATTAATAATTTTTCTAGTTCTCTGGGTAATAGCACTCATTTAGAACAGATAAGCCCCCCTAGCACCTCTTCTCCTAGTAATACTATCAACAAAATGAACACCAACTGCAGCCGTCCCAGCAGCAGATGTTCTACAGAAGGCAATGAAGCTTCCATTGATCTCACACGCCCCTCTTTGACAAGAAAAAGAAATCGTGAAGGTCAGAACTATTGTTTTATTTCCTAACTTTCATAAAATACTATACTTTTTTCTACTCAAATTTGTGTAGATGAAGAACAGTTTTGGCTTTTCCCTTTTTTATCTGTGTTATTGTTATTGTTGTTTTATAGGTTTTAGGCCAGTTCCTTGAGCGGTGGAAGAGCCTATTGTGATAACAGCTAGATTTGAGTTTGAACTTTCATAAAATTTCTTTACTATGCTTCAGTCACTCAGTACATCCTCACCTGTTAACCAAATTCGCTCATCTTGCTAGACGTTTCTCTTTTGATTACTTTCAGAACATGAAATTGAATCATTCCCCTTTGTAATGAAAATATTTTTTTTATCTCTAAATCATTTCTCGCAATAAATCTCATTCCTAAATTTGTGGATGAAATTGTCACATACATTGGTGTTGAAGATGCGGTTATGAACTTGTCCCAAAAGCTATCATCAAGAGTGCCGCTTTCACTCCATAAATCAGCTGAGACGTGCATTCTGCATACTGATGATTTCTAGTATAACTTGAGATATCCGCCTCATGGTCTATGTGCCTCTTTAATATTCTATAATTCTATACCATTTATGCAACGTTCTCATCATGGATACTTATTACATTAAACCAGCTAGGCTAATAAATCGCGAGAAACAAATTTTGTGTTTTAGTTTTAGATATTTTTGTGGCAATGTTATTATTTTTTATTTTTCCCATTAGCAAACATACTTTGCTAATATTTTCTTGGGCTCAACATTAGCAAAGTGTGTTTGAATTTCATTGTTGATAACGGGTAGTAGTTGATCATAACCGTAGCGTCAAATGCCTACCTCACTTCCTGCGCTTTAGTAGCATTGGAAAGGAAGTGCACAATTGCATAAGTTCGTCGCTCGATCCGCTTGCTACGTAACCAGCGTAACATGACTTTTACTAATATTCTATATCGACTACTACGATGACGACGACCTGAATCACGCTTAGTAATAACGATTGTTCACGCTTACTTTTGCTCGCCATCAGTTTTGTTATGATTCATATATGAAATGAAATTCATGTTCGCTTTTTTAACTATCTTCAGAATGATGGTGCTAGCCTTATGTATTGTGCAACTTTTCTATATTGTAAACTTAAACTTAAATAAAAACTTAAGCTTGAATCAACCTCGAGTCAATGCCATATTTACTGTCGTCAACGTAAATCCTTTCCAAAGTCCTAGAATCTAGAATTATTTTTTAGTAGACAAATTGTTAATTTACATGACTAGTAAAGACAGCATGACACATTGGCGCACGCTAAGACGGCGATGCGCCTCTTTTAACGAAGCTGCGGTGATGCAGTTGTATAAAAAATAATTTATTTACACAGTCGAGAGCAAAATCATGCCCCACTTTGACTGCCCATGCGATAGTGTTTTCTACGTAAGACTTTGTAAATCCTAACTCAATAGGAAGTAATTTTTTCAATGCGGGACTGAAGATGAACCAGCTTCAATATAACAAGGTTAAAAATTTCTCAAGTATTCCAAACAATAAAGCTCGCATCGTTCGTTTGACTTGCTATTTCCGACTAGCGTTGAGTTGTTTATGAGAACGTGTTGCAGGCTATGAAATTGCAGTCGCTTTAAGTCAATGCCAATGTTTCGGCAGCACTTGGCAATGGATTATCTGGCCATTTGGCGTCAGTCTGACGTATTGGGAACGATCGTTTATTAGATTTTGGGGTTTCATATAATTTAAGGGATAATTTGCTTTAAAAATGTACTTTTTTCGATTAAATTTTCGCGCGTACCCACTATTCAATTATGTAAACATTAATTCGGTATAATTACACTTCGATTTCGAGCCACAATATTTTGACTGTTATCAGTGAACGTTTATGTTGTGATGCCTCTTGTGATAATACTGACGAATTACGTTCGTTACAGATGATTGGTCGGGCCCGAACTCCGTGAACGGTAATGCCGGTATTGAAGAAACGCCACCTGGACCCCAAACCTCCCGACGCAAGCTGAATACCAGCAACCCCACATACCAAAGCAATGGCCTGAGTAACGGAAGCCTTACTAACGGCGACGACAACGTCTTGGACGAGGACGACGAAGACCTGGATGCTGGTGACGATCTTTCCTCGCCTAAATGGAACGGTGGCAAGAACGGCGAAATCGGCGGCAAAGACGACATGGACCCCGAGGAATCGTTCAAGGACCTGAGTCCTGAGGAACTGGCCAAGAGGAAGGAGATGGTCAACAGACTACAGGTGCAGCTCCGCACTGAGGAAATGAAACTTGTGCTCCTAAAGAAGCTCAAAATTTCTCAGGTGAGCTCGCCTCTTGCGAGTGTCTACCTAACTCACCATGCACTCTTTCTGGGGCGATGCGGGAGCTTGCAACTCATGAACATAGCAAACCTTGCGTCAAAAAGATTGCTTAAATGCTATAAGTTATAGTATCGATCATTTTCCTCAATTTTTTTGATAGATATTAGTGCTAATATAATTTTTTTTAACATTATACACATCATATTGCTGTTACTATTGATAACAAAGCGTTCTTAATTTTTGTGAGATTTTCGCAAAGTTTTCTCAGTCAAAACAACGGAGCTGATAGAAACTTTAAGGTATTATTTAAAAACGCCTAACCTATACTGAAAGTAACTATCTATTCGAAGTTGCAAGCTGCCGTATAGGTTCTTCGGTTTCGACTGTACCTGTTGGGTTTACAGGTTTCTATATTGCGTTATATAAAATGGTAAAAAGGCAAGGAATCTCATTTAAATTGTTTATACAAGGATCCATCACCTAGGATTGAATTTTGTTGCATTTGTGATAAGAAGTGCACAATTAATGTATCAGTGATACGCCGTGGTAGTTGCGACGGGGTAAGGACTAATTGGTGATTCACGCGCGTGTATGTGAATCGGCAAGAATTACCATACCGCGTTTTGATACACTTCAACTTTCATCGTCTTGATACTGTAATTTTGTGTGAGGCAAGAATTACCATACCGCGTTTTGATACATTTCAACTTTCATCGTCTTGATACTGTAATTTTGTGTGCGAATTGTATCGTATTTATGAATCATCGTTGACGCTGCATGACGCTGCATCGTTGACGTTAGTTTATTTTGACGTTTTGGCAAGGCTGAGCAAGATCGCGTCAGAGATCAACGTAGACTGAATACAGTGACGATGTAACTGTAAGTCGAAAAGTTGTTCGTGTATATGTCGCGCTGAAATCGCGGAATTGCCGATTCTATGGAATCGGCAGCCAGTTTTCCGAATTTGTTGAATCAGTATTTCTGTACTATAGGAATCTGTGGTTAGGTCAGTCAGCAAAGTTTTTTTTAACTTGACCGAACTTGACCTAACAGTTTCTAACTCTAACTATCGATTTATGTTTTAACTCTAACGTCCGATTTTCTGAATGAGCAACGAAATGCTGTTTCTACAGATTGAACAAATTGGCTGCCAATTCTATAGAATCGGCGATTCCGCAATTTCGGCACGACTTATATATGGTTCACAGTTCATTTCAGCGCCGAAGTTTTGCCTCAAGTGACGGAGTATTTGGTTTGTCTATACAAGGCAATAAATTGATCCTGTTTCGTCGAAATGTAGATCTCTAGTTGTGGTTTGTAAGTTGCGCCATTTATTCAACAGTTCGACTATGCTTGGTATCGTAGTATAGATAGTTGATAGAGACTTGAAAATTTTGCAAATTCGCTCCATGAAATTCGATATCGCATTGGTAGGAAGTATTTTTATACATTATAGGAACACCATTATCATTATCAGGGACCGTATTTGGTAGCATTTGCTACGTCAATCGTGCACTTTTTATAACTAATCTTGAATACTTGCTGGCGTTCAAATGTTACCGTTGTGATTCGAACGTCATGAATTCGAGTGGACCGTGTCCATTCCGCCTGTCTTAATGGGTTATAGTAAAGAATTGAACTGATACTACTTCGTTTTATATCTTATATGGATTATTTGTTGTTCATATATTATATTTTTAGTTGTATATTCTGAAGTGGGCTTGAAATGTGCAGCAAATGCTGAAAGAGAGCCTCCCCAACTGCGACACCAAAGCCGCTCTCATCAAACTTCCTGCCAACACAACAGCCATCAAACTCCCGCCATCCACACCTTCTCAGCTCCACAATCATCACAAACAAGAGTCTTCGTCTTCTAAGGTATTGCAAGCTCTAGCTCGTCAATAGGTTTGTATTGCATTAGCAGATTAGCTCATGTTCCAATGATTTTTAATGTAACATTAGTTTATGATGTATGAATTACATTGAGATGGCCATTTCTCTTATACAAATATTTAGAACGATTCTTGAAAGTTTAAAAATCGTAATTCCTCGAAATGGCAGCAGAAGTAACTGACATCAATGTTCTGAAAGGCAGTTGAATACCCTTCTAAATTCTTCGAATGTATCTTAATTCTTAATGCAATGAATATGATGTCTGTTTTCAGATTCATCTGTTACATGGGTTGTGTTCCGTATTGCTACTTTGAAATCTGTTTTTCATTTTTGGAATATATTTTACTCAAAGGTCAATTTGTATGAAAGATTGAATTTGATGATCATGAATCACTGCCTCCTGCTTCAGGTATCCTCTCAATCGACGTGCATTAGCAGCAGCAGCAGCAGTAACAAGGTTCAGATCTGCAGCACCAATTCCCAGTCGCAACGTAATGGCAGTAGCAGCAGCAGCAGCGGTAGCAGCGTCAAGACACCTAGCGTATCGCCCTCTCTGTCACCTACGGCACTACAGGCGCAGAGGCATCTTCTTGCTAGAGGTTTGCGTCTAGATTCATATTCTACTTCTTACTTGATGTGCAACTTGAGTGAGGTCTACACTTGTGACGTTACGCGTAAGTGCGTTATTAGTTCTCACTAGCGTTTGTGAATCAGCTTGAATATTGGTATAAGTTAGGCAGAAGTTCTTCTTTTACAAAAGAAATACAACTTATTGGAAAAAAATTACCAAATTCTTAATATAAAGCATTCTTTGGATCTACAATCAGCAAAGATATGTAACGTACCACGTTTTGATACATTTCAACTTTCCTCCTTTCAATATTCCGTTTGTTAACTAATCGATGAAGTCATGTTAATGCTTCCAATGAATGATATTAACGTACGATTGCAGGAACGACCCTAACGAGCACGGTAGGCGGTACGAGCAGTAAGCCAGGGAGTCCGTCCCTGCTGCCACCATCTCAGTCGTGTTCCTCATCCAGCATGGGGTTGCCTGCGTCCCTCAACCTCCCCTTCAACCTCTCCCGCGAAGTCGAAATTATCAGAAAAGATTCTCCTTCAGCCAGTCCGCGTGACTCTCCGTCACACCACTCCAAGGTGATAAAATCGATTAATTTGGTAACAATTTGTATAGCTTCTAAGATGAGTTAACTTATAGAACTTTTTACCTGACTTAGGTAAGCCATTAATTAACGAGTCCACGTGACAGATCGTACATGTTACTTCTATTACTGTACGATAAATTTCTGCGACAACTTTTTTTTAATTAATAAACTATTTTATTTAGGAGAAAGTCAACTATAAGACACTATATAACAATAGTAGAACCATAGCTTGCCTGATACGCGTCGGCGAAGCGCCGATGTATGAGGGTAGTATCCGTGATACCGAGCAATTAGCTAGCCAAGAGGGGTTTTAACCCATGGTTGAACTATATAAGGTTGACCCACGAGGATTTCCGTCTTTCAGTTCAGATTTCTTCTTACGTCACTGAGATCGAGAAACGTAAACAAGCCCGTCATTCCCATCACGGATTGGTTGACTGATTTGATCGCATTTCGGTGAATGGTTCATGCCCGTGACGTCACTAAGACCAGTGATGTCACAGGCGAACAACAAACTACATCCGCAAAAATTAGCTTCTCATGGGCCAACCTTATACTAGTTCAACCATGTTTTAACCAGCCCTGGCATGTTGTTATTAGGCTTCTCCGATTATTGTCCAAATTCGAATCACTTAACGAAATGAAGTCAATCTCGCCATCTAGTAATTTGTTATATCTCTAAGTTATTTAGCTAGTATTATTAAATTTACCGCGTGCATAGGTCTTTTTAATTATTGTCATTTTTCTTACCGTACTCTGCTGTCGTTCTAAAAAGCTCATGAGATGGCATGGCATGGCTCTGATCATTTAAACTTGTCATCAGCGTTTAATAACGTGTCATTGGCTTTAACTCTGTTGTAGTCTTCGTGTCAAAATAACCCGCAATTCCGACCGAAGTGCGGTCGGAAGTGCGTGTTTACTTTAAATACATATTTAAATTTTAATATAATTAATTCACACAATTAATTAATTTAATTACACCGAGTGTTCAATTTATTTACACTATTAATTACTGGTTGCAGGTAAGCAGCAGCAGCCTACAGAACAACAGCAGCAGCAGTGCAGCGGCACACAGCAGCAGAAGTAGCGGCAACAGCAGCAGCGGTGCAGCAGGTGCTGCTGATGACGGCCTCAGCGGCGGTGGCCAAACTCCAGCACAAAGACAAGCTGCCGCTCGACTCGCCCTCAGGAAGCAGCTCGAGAAAACGCTGCTAAGAGTGAGATATTACGGGCTACATACAATTTATGCTCATGATTTGATTTTTTTTTATATTGGCTATTAGCATTTGTAATTACGGTTACTTTAAAAAGGAAATGCCATTTGTGCAGTGTTTGTGAGAGACACAGAAGGACTTGAAGATAATTTTCTAATTAGCAGCTTCTTATTTAAGGAACTTCAGATTATATCCTGACTTTACAAGTTATAATAATACTCAAAGTACCACATTTAAAATGTATTTCTCTCTCTTTAATTCGCTGATGGCTCACACATGGGATTTTTCTTTTATTAGTGCAATTTCTGATGCCAAAAAAATATAAAATGACCAAAAATGAATATCCATGTACGAAGATTTCATATATACTTTCACTTTCAGATACTTCACTTTCAACTGTTTATATCGTAATTCATGTGAAACATGTTGAAATAATATTTTAGATCTTGTTTTTTGAAGTGTACAATTCCTCAATATATCTAACATAAGACTTTTTAAAGCTTTTTGCCTTGAAAAATAGTCAGGGACCGTATTAGTAGAAAAATAGTCACATATTGGCAATGCTGCGCCTAAAGTTTTCTTTCATTTGAAATGTACAAAACCAAACGAAAACTTAAACGAGTCTTTACAAAAACTTTGTCAAAATTTATTTACAATATCCTGAAACAATCATAGAATGTAATTTCCGCGATTTTCAACGCAGTTGCTTTCTACAGCTAAACATTGTAGATATTTATTTCAGTATTTTGTATTGTGCCAAGTATTTTCCATATTCCTACCAAAAATTGCTTTCCTCTTATTTACATGCTCTGATGATCGTTCACTAATCATTGCTTATAGGGAATGTGCTCTAAGTTTTTTATGATATCCTGACAATTGGTAGCCCTTGTTTTCTCCTTCCGATCTTTCCATTATACAAAAATTTTCATTTTATCTAAATTATATTTCAAATGTCTGTTAACTCTTTTTACTTCTTCTTTCAACAATTTGTTCATCAGTGTTGCTTTATTTTCTAATAGTTCTATCATATAGCCATGCTCCTTTCATTAGATTACTTTCACTCATGTGCCAATGCATAATTTTTCCTATTCTCTTCACAGATTCCTCCACCGAAACCTCCTCCTCCCGAGATGCATTTCATTCCGAACCCAAGCAACAACGAGTTCTTGTACCTGGTGGGCCTCGAGATGTCCGTTAATAGGATCCTGCATAACAATACCAAGGAACCGGTGGAACAGCAACCCACGCCCTTCATTTGTTCCCAGTGTGGAACTGACTTCACTCCTGCCTGGAAACTGGAGCCTCATCCAATGCTGCGTGAAGGTTAGTTGCAGGCTGCTGCTTTTAATATAATATAATACATTTCTCATCCCTAAGTTTGGCTATCTGGAATCAGCTTCTTAGCTGATTTGAGTAACTCATTCGTGGAAGCGTTCTAAATCTCTCTTTACCAAATGTTCATGGTGATTAACGGAAACTTCCTCATTTGAAAGCTCGATAAAAAAGTATTAAAGAAAGCATTATATTATAATTTTATTCTAAAGAACGTTACCTGAATTTTTGTATCTATTAGTTTTAAAGATGACATCGGACAAATGACGGTCCCCATTGTCAATGCATTCAGTTAGTCGATTTTTGAAGTTCCGTTCAACTCGTTGAAGCATGACGGGTATGTTGGTGATGGCCTGGTATATGTTGTTCTTCAAATGAGGTAGGGTCCTTGGACAGTCATTGTAAACAATTGATTTAAGATAATCATATAAAAAATCACGCGGAGCCGAATTGGGGGGATCGGGCCGACAAAAGAAGGTACCTCTCAAGGAGAGGGGGTGTGCAAAATGTTGTCTCAGAAGATTCATTGAACAAGGCGCTGTGTGGGCCTTGGCGCTATTCTGGTGGAAACCAGACATCCCTGACATTCATTGCAGCCAGCTTTAGCACAAAAGGCCTCAATCATTTGTGTGTACAGAGCTGTCACCGTTACTGCGCATTTGTTTTTCTCAAAGAAATAAGGGCCAATTACGCCGACTTTTGACACGGATTTTTTTTTGTTGCAGTCCTCTTGCTACCAGACTCTCTTGCTTTCACACTTCCACTTGCCCTAAATGTTTTCACCCACTTGACAATCAATTTCCGATCAGGAACCGGCCTGAAAGACGAATACAGAACCTAGTACGGAAAGCTCGTTGAGTACCGATAATGTAACGGCCATTAGAAAAGTACGCCTTGACAGCAAACGCACGCTGGTCACTTGTCCAATGCATAGTGCCAACTGAATAGGCGGAACACAAAACTTCATAACCTTGCCGTCAGAGTGGNGTTTTGGAGTTGTAAATATTACTGACTTGCTGACTTGGTTGTTTATTTTTGTTAAATGACATGGATGCGATCGTGATGTGAGTGAAGCGCATTGCCATAACCTGTGAATCGATCTTTTATGTCTGTAGATGCGTTAAAAGTAGATACATACTGCTGGAATGTGCGTGGAAACAGTGGTGGCGTTCAAGAGCTTTTAATAAACCATTGTATGATTTACATTAGAAACTACAATGCCACGTGCATAGGAGAAGGCGTCTTTAGTGAAGGAGTCCAAATTCCCTAGAGGTACACAGGACATAAAGCCTTATCTTGAGCTTTATGGTGTACTTTTATGTATTATTGCTGGTCTGATGGATGTGTGGGTATACATGAACATTCGATTGCAATAATGGCCCGGCAATAAATTATAATTTTATTTATTCTTCATGCCTTTGAACCCATGTAATAACCTTTTTTCTTTACTTATAAGCTGGTAACTGCTCCTACTTTCATTCTCAATTATGTATTTCATTATCAATTATGTAGGAAGGTAATTTCTTCCAGGGGCAAATATTTTACGTAGCGTTTAGTACCAAAACTAATGTACTCTGATTTTATAAAATTGAATTCTGATTTTATCATTTGTTTTACATTTTGAATTTTCTGATAATCCAGTTATTTCCATTGTATTTGAATTATTTTTTACCACCAAAATTGTCTGAATTAAAAACATTTTTTATAATTTTCCTCCGTAAGAATAATACACGTCCAGAAACTTTTGGTTCCTCTCCGTTGTTGAGATGGAAGGTTATGACCAAGAGCTAAACTTCTAATTATATTAACGTTTCAGGTTCGCCAGACGTTCGTATCATGTGCGACGCCTGCGTGACAACCAACATAAAGAGCGGCCTCAAACAGGAACACACGAACAGACTGAAGGCGGCCTTCATGAAAGCTCTGCAACAGGAACAAGAGATAGAACAGAGACTTGCTGCACAGGTGCGTTAAATCATCAAATATCATTATTGTGTTCACGATTTTATGCCATCAGGGGCCATACTTACAAAATTCGCTAACTGAACGTAAGTACTTACGACTATTTTCTTGTCTATGATTGGTAGATTTTGCTTGAAAGACCGTCAATGATTGGCTGATGGACTTACGATCTCTTAACTTTTTTTGAAAGTATGGACGTATGGACCCAGGTCTTTCTGAGCGCACGTGCTCCTCTCAGACCAAAGTTTTCTTCCTTTTTGGGTTTTCTTGGGTGTGTCTGAGGTTCTTTTTACCGGGATGATTGTTGTGGGATGCGTTGTTGCCATGAGCCCATTTATTATGTGCATTTATTCCAGTTTTTAACGTTCATTTACTTTCAGGTATATTTGTGTTAGGTTTGCCTCTATTATCAAACCATCAATTTATCGAGTGAATTATTTCTTTTCTGGCTGATCTAACTTCATTACCATGTAACTTGATCTCATAGGGTGCGCAGTCAACACGTTCCTAGCTTAGTACTCTGAAATATTTTTCCCTTGTATATTTCCACATATCTTGACAGATTTTCTGTTCTCAGTTCTGAATTTTATACTTCTTGTCGCTTAATAAAAACTATGTTAAAATTTACTTCATAGTATTCGAATGTTTCTGCTATTCTTAGCTATTCTCATGTTGATGAGTGCTCTTGTCTTTCTGCTGACGCACTCTTGGTTATTGATGTATTATTGGCCATATTTGTGTTCATAAATACCTATCTGCTCAATGCCTATATTAGAACAACTGATATTTATTGACTCAAGGAGGGAGCTTCTTGCAAAAAAATGTGATTTCGGGCCTATGCGCATTTTTTACAGTAAATTTTCCTAATTTAAACAGGCAAATTTTTACTACATCTTGAGGCTAGGGTATGCTTCCATTGCTTGCACAAATTGTACTTGGAATGAAATTATATTCAAAATGAGTATGATTCGAACCGCTGTTTCTACAGAGTCAATTTAGGAGAGAATTTTGACCTGATTTTGCATTTATAGATGAGTGACGAGTTTCTTGATTTATGGTTGTGCAAGTTGTTTGTTTGATTGCCTTTGTTGATTTTTATTATGTGCTTATTAGCGAGTCTCGAATCATTTATTTATATCGGTGATTGTTTAGAGCTCGTGGGAGAATGAAAATAGGAGACAACAGCAGCAGCAACAACAGCAGCAGCAGCAACAACAACAGCAACAGCAGCAGCAGTTACAGCAACAATATCGTTCTAGCAGCAGCCGCAGTCATCACTCCTCTCATCACAAACGCTCTGAGCTCACGCTCGAGAAGGTAATCACTGGACCACCAACAGTTGTCGCTCAGCAACTCTCACTCTTAAACACAGCATAATGCTACCTTGCTTTTCATTGAACAAAACTTACAGTTTGAAAGTCATAAAAAGTAACATCTTAATCGTTTCAAAGTTGAACCGTTTGTCTTCGAATATATAAACTCAAAAAATAAATTTTCAAAAAAAAATAAAGGTACCTAAATAAAAAATAAATAAAAATATAAAAATTAAAATAAATTTTCAAAGGTACCTAGATGCCTAGTAAAATAGAGTTCTAATCAACAAAAGCTTAAGCATTTTTAGCTTGTAGAATGCAAATGAAAAATATTTCAAACTTTTGTCATGATTAAACTTAACTGAAAGTATGCCATTATGACTGAAAACTTTGGTCAAGTCAGGAAAGACACGTAATCTGTTATTTTTTATACTATGAGAAGCCAATTCAAGTTATTTTGTAATAGTTTTGTGTTGGTGTTAGAAGTTTTTGCTATATTACCAGCGTAAGTAACGTAAAACTGTAAGTGCTTTTTTTTTACTTGGGCTGCACTCTTATTGATTGATATTTGAAGGTTTAGTTTGTCTTTGGTTCGTCTCCAATGTCTTTAGAATTTGACATTTTTTTATGATATACCTGCATGTTTATGCTTGAATACTTACTTACTTATAATACTACTTAGGTCATCCCCTACTTAATCCCCTACTTAGGTCATTTATTCAAAGTTGATTTTATCTGACTCGGTTACTTGTTCCCGCTCCTTAGAGCGATGGCTAATGGTAAAAAATTTGCAGGTAAACGTTTCCGACAACAGCAACAACAACAGCAGCAATTTGCATCGGAGCAGCACCCCCAGCGTATCTGTGACGTCCATCAAAGACCTGCAACGTCAGCAGCAACCTCACCACAGCAGCAGCCGCAGCAGCAGCAGCAGCAACAATAACAGCAATGCGATCTCCGCGTCTATAGCTTCAATAAGTCGCCAACATGAATTGATGCTACAGCAGCAGCGCAGAGAACGCGAGAGAGAAATCGAAAGAGAAAGAGAGCGGGAGCGTGAACGACAATTACGAGAGAGGGAACGACAGCAAAGAGAACGTGACTTGGAACGAGAGAGGGAGAGAGAACGAGAAAGAGAGTACAGAGCAGAAAAAGAGCGTCGGGAGCGAGAAAGAGAAAGGGATCAAAGAGAAAAAGACATGTACTTGCCGCCGGGTTTAACAAAGCAGCAGAAGGAGCAGTTCATGGCCAGCATGAGCACTGCAGCAGCTATGGCGCAGGCCATGAGCAGTCCTGCAGCTCTGCAGCAGATGCAGGCCGCCCAGCAGCAGCTGCTAAGGATGCAAGGCTTGGGTGGAGCGGGCACCCCTCAGATAACTCCTCACTTACTGGCTCCGTACTTGCTGGGCCATTACAATCCTTTTAATCTGCAACTGCAGCAGCTAATGGCGGCACAGCTTGGTGCTGCAATACAGCAGCAAGGTGCTAATGCTGCAGCCGCTGCTGCTGCCGCTGCCAGTGGTGGTGGCGGTGCAGCAGCAGCGGCTGCTGCGGCCGCTGCTGCTGCTGCCGCTGCTGCTTTAGTTGGTGGTGTTGCAGGCGGAAGTGGTAGCAGTAGCAGCAGCAATAGTAGCAGTACGCAGCAGCAACAACAGCAGCAGCAGAACCTTGCAGTTCAGCATGAGTTTATGCGGCAGCGGCAGTATCTGCTGGACATGATACCATCAGCCGGGCTTCAGGCTGCCGCGGCCGCGCAGCACGCGTCTGCTCAGGGCGGCAGCAGCAGCAGCGGCGGTCACTCTTCTGGCAGCAGCAGTAAATGGAAGAGTTGAACCAAGCCTCGCAGTAGTCAGCTCAACAACTTGTAACATTTAAATCTATTACTATGACTAAACTACTATTACTATAGCTAGACTTTTATTTACTAGACTCCTTGATGCGACATTTTTACTACCTTGTCATTTTATTCATTTCGTCTCATGGTATCACATTTAAAGACGCCATTTTATCAAATTTCCTTCAGCAGCTGTCCTGAAAAATTTGTGAGTTTTTTCAATAATTGTGCATTTCTATTTCTGCGAGATACTTTCGTTTATCCAACGCCTTCTAAATTTTCACATAACATATCTCTGGCTTTCATCATTTGCGATTGCGGGCAATGTTTTTCTAGAGCCCCATTATTTTTGCTATTCGTTGATTGACGCATTGGTCATTCTTTGTGGCCTCGGTTCAAGAAGAACTTAGAGGTTTTGTTGTGTGAATGCACTTTTAAAACATCTCATGAATGTTCCGTTTCGGTGGAAGGGAATTATTAGATTTACTGAGTAACTTTACATTAATGTCTAACTTCCATTATTTCGTTTAAACTGTTCTTACCATTATTAAAAGCGCTGAATTTATTGCTTACCCATTTATCATATTTTGCTGCACAAATTTTGACCCTTCATGATTTTGGCAACTAATTATCATCGCATTTTTCGTATCCCCTCAGGACTGAACGGTATGAATCTGTTTACAATTAAATGAGTCAATTCAGCAACATTTTTTTTACTCTATTTTTATTTCTAAAACTCAACTTTTAAGACTTCCAAGGAAGCTTGTGGCGGTGTATGCATGGGTTCTTGTTTTATCAAGTCAGTTGTTTCTGTGCTAACAACATGAAATTACTGATTGAATCTGACCACCATGTTAACTTTATTAGTACCGCAACTTTATTTTCCTTTGGGAATTCAGCACTGCCAATCGGGTTTTTTGTTCCTTTCTTTGGTTATGGGTTTCTCGCTCCGTTTTTTTTTCGTGCATTAATCATAGTTCTGATGCACAATAGGAATGAAACGTATTTCGCTATTCTTCCTTTAGCTGAAACCGTGAACTGGTTGCGGTTACAAACACCGTCATCGGAATAGCTTGCATTTTAATTTGCTGTTGACACTTAGGCTGTTTTTGCTATTAACCGTGTAGTGGATCTCGTACGAAGTAGCAATAATGCTGGCATAACTTTAAATTGAAATTGCCTCGTCTTGCTATACATTAAAACCGAAAAATAATTGTTGCGCTCCTCTTGCCAGTTGAATTCTGTAATTATAATTATTTAATCGTTAAACTATATTTTTGCTATTGTTATTTTTTGTGCATATTGATCCTGTGTCTGGTATCATTCTCACTCATAGTATTTCTTAGTTAGCATGAACGTAACCGTGGTTTTCAACATTGAGGATTATTAAACAAGGCTTCATTGTGGGATTTCCGATCTTACTCGGTCACGGCATTGCGCTCTGTAAACGACATGGATGCTTTAGGTCTTGTAATTAATTGGTTTTTAATGTCATTTCTGGATAGTTAAATCAGAGAGTCGTCATCTTGAACGTATTGAAATTCGATCATTTATTGCTTGTGAGGACAAATTTACCCTGTCCTTGGTAATATTTTTTAGCCATAGCTTATAAGTTACAGTATTGAGCTGCAACATGGACGATAATCTTCATGCTTGAACTTATGCAGGACAGATAATGCCGAGTGAAAGTCGTTATGAACTTTATTGCGGTATGTTAATGCGTTTAATGCTATGGCTATGGGCTGGGGTTTAAATTTACTGCCAGAAATAAATGATACTGTTAACTAGATCAACCACCCGCTATAAGTGAACAAAACGAGCAATGCCAGCAAAGAACAAGAAATAAATTTGTTCTTTTTTATTTGTAGCGCTGCTTATTGTCATTACATTGGCAAACTTTCGTACTAACACCATGTAAACCTCTATTGAAAATAATTCCTATTACCCATTTTATTTCCGACTTTTTCATCCATATTTTAGCCGTGATTGGTTCAAAATTATTTAAATTCTTGAACTGAAAATTCTGGAGGTAAGGAAAACGTTTTGTGATCAAAACTTGTTACTCGCTAACCTGTACAAATTTGCATAGAGTGAAATCTGTGTCTCTGGAAATCGACTAAGGTGTTGTACATTCTGGTTTGTTTACATCAACGAGGCGACGAAGGAGGCAAGTCTCTGTTGAATACGAGCGCATCTGATGAATTTCTTGTGGTATGACCCTAACAAAATTTAAAGTCGCCCCAGCTTCTGGTAATCCAAATCAGAAGCTGCCGCGTCTGTAAATTTTCACTGGGGATGTACTCGATGGCAGATTTTGCTGCGCTTCTTGTGAAGCTTGTCTAAATCTGTGTCAGTCTTGCTCTGTGTATCCTTTCTTACTGTACATAGTGACCAAATTTGTAAGATATTGTACAGTGACAACGGAATGGTATCTTTTAAGGTTTAGCTATCGCCTGAATTCGAAGTTTCAGCTGTGAGCAATTATGGTGTTAAAATTCCTCTGTAATGAACAGTTTCTTCTGTTACTGTCCAACATGGAATTATACCGAGTACCGTACGCTATTTGTCTGGAGTAAATTTCTCTTCGTATTTTAACTCGTACATCTTAAATTATATTTCGACTTTTGAGACCACTAAATTATATGTATACATAACTTGATTATTTGCATTTTATAAACTCGGCGTCGAGTTTTTATCCTGTGCTTATCATTTTATTTGTCTGATGATAATTTATCATTGTTTTAACTTGAGGTTATTAGTTGATTATGGGTTCTAATTTGCTGTAGCACTTGTTCTTGTTTACTTCAATTTTCACGACGTGTTGAATTGGAACTTGAGTGTGCAAGAATGAAATCGATGGTAATGCTATGCTGTCTGGCTGTTTTATTGCAGATTTAACCTCTCACTTTTTCTTTTGGAGGAAACTTTCAATTGGGGCTTGCAGTTGTCTTGCTAAAATTAAGTAATTTCTCACTTTTGCATTCATTAAAACGTGAGATTTTCAAATGCACAAAAGCTTTGAAATCTTTCTATATTTTCTCTACGTTCCGAAGATGGATATTCGTCTCGCGTTTAGTTAGCAACATGTTATTTTATTTCAAGTACTAATCTGTTTGCTTTTATTTTCAGAAATAATTGAAAAATAGCGCGTAAATTTTAAGTTTCCGGTACACGATGGAATTAGTTTTGTTGTAGTGCTTATATTTATTAATAATTCCATTTGAAATTGTAGTTGTAATATCAGCGTTTTTGTTATGTTAATATTACCGGGCGTTCTTTCATACGTGTCAGGGCCTCCCTGGACCAACTGTCCTAGTACGAGTGATTGATTTATGAGCGATTTTCTCTGAATTATAAGTGATACCCTGTCGCGTTGTTTACCCAAGTTCAATTCTTGTACAATTTCCGTGGTTTGTTCTACTGTAAATTGATGAGCTATTTCTAAATAAAATTTTATATCAATATATTTCCCTGAAAGCGGAGATAGTGCTAACAATTATATTTATAGACAGTCTTTCTTATAATTTAATTTGATATTTAGTTTGTTGGAAATTTTATCACGCAAAAATTTCTGTTCCAAAGAATGGCTGCGGAATTTCTCCCAAACCATCAATATAACCGACTAGCTTCCATGTTCTTAAATGCCACAATTTTGAGCACCGTTTCTATTTATGTGTTATCATGCATTTTTCCATATTTGGCAGAATTTAGTGAGGAATATGTAATAAAGGGCTGACTCACTCTCCCACTCGTGACCCATCAATCATCTCAAGTGACTTCTTCTTACCAAATTTAATTCAGTTTGTAAGCACTGCAACTCTCATATGTCGTGAATGAAGCCTTGTCGTTTGATGCATCGAAAACCCATCCCCGCACTACCTGCTGAATCTGACGCACGCATCGCATCAAAGTATTTGCTGCTGGAAGTCATTTTTCTCGATTTACTGTAAAAAATTTATTTGCATTTTGAATTTGGGGTCTGGTGACCTTGAAAAAGAACATTCAGTTAACTGCCACTCGTCAAGTGTTCGCGATAGGAAGATAATGTTGCTACCGTAACCGCATGCGTGAGCATGTGAGTGTGACCCTTCTTCATTCCGCCGAGCATGCGTGTTGCCTAGGGATTAATGGGTTATGAATAATAACTTGAAACGTGCTTTTCTTTTGAATACTCGACTTCATTGTGGGCCTTCTCGGTTAGGCTTAGTCGTGTGTGTGTGGTGCAGAGCTGTGGTGCGAACGAGCTCCTCTATCGTGTTACCTTCTACTAGGCTTGTATCCAAGCTCCTCTATAGTATTGTAGCTGTTAGTAGTATGATGTTCGCGCGGAAATGTTCATAAGATAGCAGGTAAATAGCTGACAATGTAGATACACCGTGCATTTAATCTTATAATGGTAGGGGCAGTTCATGGTTTTTCGTGTGTGAGAGAGCAAGCGTTGAACGGATAACTTTTTCTAATTGTGACCAAAATGTTGAAATCTTTAATAAAACTCCTAAACTACATTGTTGATTTTTTCTTCCTTGCCCATTTCAACGTTAATTGGTGGCTTTTTCTATTTCGTGTGTAGTAGTGCCCACGTCGTTGTTTTTTTTTTACAACGATTGTTTCTTTTGATGCGCTTTAGCATTATATGTTGTGATTTTATATTTTGGTTGACGAAGAATCTGTAACGTTCCTTATTAAACTTTTTATGACAAGTTATGTGAAGTTAGGCTGTGCCAATACTCAGTTAGGAAAATATTGCGCCGAGCGTTTGCATTTCGCAAGTTATTATGCGGCGTAGCATCTACTTTATTAGTTTTTCGTACGATTTTTGCGTAATTTATTACGCTTATCAATTGATAGAAGCTGCATTACGCCCATTCAACGTTGATGAGAAGCATTACACTCGATGAAAAGTCGATGGAACGCTAGCTTGTGTGTGTGGCAAAACTTAAATTCCACCACCTTTGTTAATTATGTAAAGTTGTGCATTATAAATCCATTTACAAGATTGCACTTCTCAATGTAATTCACAAAGCAAAGTGTATTTATAATTTGATGATATATTAAAACGCGGAGAAATGAAAGCTTTATTTTAAAAATCATCACTTAAATGATGCATGACGCCTTTGATGCCTGCCCTCCATCAACTAATTTCACGGAAAATACTCATCGAGTTAATTCTAATTGTGAGTAGTTGTCAGTGGCAGCGTTGCCATGGCGACGCTCCACCCAACAGAAACAGCTGCTCGGTTGAGCGTCTGAGCGAGTCTACACTGGCAGATACGTGCTCAAGTGAACATGTTATTACGTGGTAACTATAAGGATTTAGAGAGAATTAATGGACTGGCACTTATTCGACGGTGCTCCTTTCTAAGATAAATTTGAAACGCTGAATCCCCGGCTGTTGTATTTAACGCAATTTACATATTTATGTGAATTTTATCGTTTGTTTCGTTGTTTTTGAAAGGTTCGCCCTGTGTTTCTCACAACTTGTCTTAATCAGAAGTGATGGGTTAAGAGATTTCATCAGGTTTGTATGCATTCGTGAATTCATCCTTCCTTTCAATGTGTATATTCATATTTTTTCGAGTTAAGAATTGGAAATGTGTTCTGCATATCGTTAATTCAAATAAAGAATTCGCCTGTCACATTATTTGTTAATGTTCTTGTGCTTTTATTTGAAGGCGGAGCAACGATTTTATTGCTATTATTGATTTCAAATTATTTTCCTCAAGGAAAATTATGATAATTGAAAATAATTACAGCTAAGCTTCCAAGCGCCAATTACTCAAAATATCAACAATACAGCACCTAATATCGAAATAATTACTCCTTGTTCATTCGAATATTTTATCTTCAGCTCTTAGAGAACATGATCATTTATAGTTACTTTTATTAGTTATATCTGTGAAAATTCAGAATCTGTAAAAATGTCGGAACAAGGCAGTGTGTTTGTGTACAACGTACGCGGCCTCGTCGAAAGTGGCTACGACTTCGACGGCGACGACCTGAGCGTCAGTTACTGCTACACATTCGGACAAGACTGGCAACTGGTAGCGGTGAGTAAACAAATGGTAGCGGTGAGTAAACAACTGGTAGCGGTGAGGAAACAGCTGGTAGCGGTGAGTAAACAACTGGTAGCGGTGAGTAAACAAATTTTAGCGGTGAGTAAACAACTGGTAGCGGCGAGTAAACTGCTGGTAGCGGTGAGTAAACAACTGGTAGCGGTGAGTAAACAACTGGTAGCGGTGAGTAAACAACTGGTAGCGGTGAGTAAACAACTGGTAGCGGTGAGTAAACAACTGGGAGCGGTGAGTAAACAACTGGTAGCGGTGAGTAAACTATACTGGTAGCGGTGAGTAAACAAATGGTAGCGGTGAGTAAACAACTGGTAGCAGTGAGTAAACAACTGGTAGCGGTGAGTAAACAACTGGTAGCAGTGAGTAAACAACTGGTAGCAGGGAGTAAACAACTGGTAGCAGTTTACTGTTGATTTGTTTTGTACATTACACGAGCATTTCATTTATCATGCATTATCCTATAAACACTGGGGGTCAACTGTGCAATTATCCATACGAAATAACTCTCCCATGAAACGTATGCTTACGTTCAAGAAATGTTCAGTAAGCGTTGTTTGTCTATTAGTACTTATTTACACTTGACCGCGGTATGTTATCAACATTAAACAGACCAAGAAAGCCCCTTACTAATATGTAATACGCTGCACGGAGGATGAACTATCCGTTGACCAAATTTTATGTCGAAGATTCCGTTAACTCTGTTGATAATTATTTGAAATAAAGTCAGACTATCCGTCTCAGGGGCTGGAGGAAGGAGTCTCTCAGGTTACACGTCTCGGCTTCGGCCCAGATCGGCACTTTGTATGGAACTTCCCTCTGGACGTTACCTTCTCTTCGACTAATCCATATGGATGTGAGTGCTAACTTTTGTGTTTTGATCACTGTAATGCATTCTATGAATCATTATTTGCGAATTTTATAAATAGCTCTTGAAGATTATTTAGTGGAACGTATTTTACTCGACGTGTTCTTCAACTATTTTACTCGGCGTTTTCTTCGCTATTTATGGATTCTTCTGTGGAAAAAATATTTTCTAGTGGCCGAATTAGGGAATGAATAAAATTGCTATATTTTTCTGTGCCTCTATCCCGATAGTTCAGTTGAATCTCGAATGGATATGAATTTTTCGTGCAAGCAGAACTGAATAATTCTGTTATTAAACGTTTTCTAAAAGTATTTCTGAACATTAAATTGAAATTTAATAGGGCCAGCCGCTAGATGTATTTTTCCAAATTATTGGATGATGTTTTGGGTGGCCCAGTGATTAAAGCTGTGATACACACAACAAGCTCTGAATGTTCTGCGATATTGAGAATCGGTGCCAGGCCTATGGCCCAATAAACGCTGAACCCGCTATATTTTACCATTACATTATGATCGTGACCTCTTTCAGTAGTAACCCCTGCAAATGTTTTCGGATAAATTGAAAACTATTGTGATTTTCTTTTCTTTTTTGAGGGGTGAATATAATTTTTGGTCGTTTTCTGTCCTAGTCCTTGATATGCATTTTCATGCATGCGCAGGGCCTCAGTTGGTTCTGTACGTTTACGGGAAAGACTTTTTCGGCACGGACATCGTACGTGGTTACTCAGCCGTTCATATGCCCATCTGTCCGGGGCAACACGCACGCAGGTCTGTCATGCGTATTGGGTAATAAGGTAATAAAAATAGAGACCAATCGCCGAACTTTTCTTGACATCAGTTAGTCTTTTAATTCGTTTGCTTGAATTTTCATACAGCTTAGGTTTCATACAGCTTAGGTTGTAGGTTCGTATACAGTTAATTTTATGAAAAAAAATATTGCATGAAGGAATTTGGCATATTTTCATTTTTTTTTTTTGTTCAGGGAGTCATGTTGTGGGTGTATTTGCTTTGAACCTTTTTTGATATCTCTTACTGTCGTGAGTCGTCTTATTTTTATGCTTTGGGTATAAGCAAATATTTAGCAATTTTTTAGGAGTCCTAAGTGTAACGTCAAATATTATGCATGCTCCCGCCGGCATTGGAAAACTAATAAAATACAGCCATTAACGTTTTTTTTATTTCTACGGGAACAATATGGAGGAGGTGATGTACAATTTAGAACGATTTAATCCTTAAATTTTCTAAACTGATGGTAAATAAGAGTCTAAACAAGTCATCTTTTTAGTCAAGATCATTGAAGTTAAATAATTAATAAGATGGAAGGTGAGTTTTCCCCGCCCAAACGATATTAGAGTCCACACGTTATCGATTGCTATGTCGTTATCGGTAATACATGTGACCTATAATATAATTAATATAATACTAAATATGATATTTTGATTAAACTACGTAACAGAAGTTTTGCCAAATGCACCTCATTAATTTATGTTTAAAATTTAGATTCAAGTCGCTTTTTTCTATCACAATCGTGCTCATAAAACGGCATTTTTGGGGACCCCACATCCCAAAAATATATCCCAAGGAGTCCCGGATGCACTAACAAGCAGTATTTTAAGGTCCACTCTTATGAAATTATTTCAACAGCATCTCATTTGCCGTCTCCCTTGTACATTGTCCATACACGTGTATTATTTGTATTTATTAGTATTACTTTTTAGCGCAATTTCTCATTTATGAAAAAATGCACTATTGTGCTCGCCATGTCCGCCTGTCCGTCCGTCTGTCTGTCCGTCCGTGACTTCACGTTTTCGTCGACGAGAAAATGCGCTCTCTGTCACTCACTGCAGTGAGTACTGAGTTATATTTTTATACATCTATGTTTTATTTGTTCAAAACAAACCCCGGGGTGTTTTTCAGTGTCATAAATGTTAACCCCCACCAGGTTGGACTGCTTCGTACCGTCATCAGCATCGCTGCTGCAGAGGGCGATCGCTTGGCTCACCGGCAACACGCCTGAGTTCCTCGACCCGAAGATGGTGGCTCAAGCCCGAGGCCGAGAAGGTCGGAAAATATTCTGTCTTGTATTATATCGTGTCCTTATGATGATAGGTATTGATGATGCTGATGTAGAAGGAGGCATAAATGAGAGATTTGAGCAACTGTAAATGTGTGATATACATGTATGAATGAAGTGTTCTGGCTGGTCTGATTGCGCCCACCTATTGATGCCGACTGTTATAATTATTAATATAGTATAGTATTGATGCCAACTGTTATAGTATATAGTATACTATAATATTTAGTATAGTATATATAGTATATAGTATAGTATATTGCAACTGTTATAGTACATAAATGTAGTATTTTTTACGATAACAGCAGTTGCATCAATGCTTAGAATGATAAAAAAGAGCTCAGAGTTAGTTTAAGTTCCATGCAAGATCAGCTAATCGTGGATAACATGGCCAGGATAAAATTAAGTGTTCGCATCTGTAAAGCTAATATCAACTTTAGTACTTTAGTCAATATCAACATTGAAATGGGAGTTTATAAATTTGTAGCTTGATAATTATGGCCAGAAGCTAAATAATATAACTTAGCCTAGATGAAAGGTGAAAGGGGATGGAAACTTTGCATCGTTTCTAATTTTTCTAACGACTCATGTTCTTCGCTTTCCTGTTTAAGATTTGAGTTTAAGTAACATGTGAGGAAGAATCGCTTAAATGTTAGTAAAAAAAACATTCCACCGCACATTAATACCCATTCTCTGGACTTTAATGGGGAAGAACCATTACATATTTTTTGCATGTGCCACTTTTGAATTCATTAATTTAGGATAATTTATCGCTTTTTACAGTTACACGAGTTGAGTCGCAAGGACACATTAACGTGACTTTCAACGTAACAATGAAGGATTTGGGCAAACTTGGCTACGACTGCGGGGTGGTGTCACTGGGTTCCTTAACCACCAGTGCACTGTTAGCTGCTGTTCTGGAGGCTCGTGGAGTAAATTCAACTGCAGAACTAAAATCAGGAAACAACGCCAAGAAAATATCTGCTGGTCGAGGAACGGCAGAAGAAAAAGATGACAACTCGGAGACAGGGAAACGATCGAAGGAGAAAAACAAAGGGTATTTTGATACGAACGAACAGGCGACTAGGAGGAGAGGCTTGTTCGCTCAGTATCCGTCTGGAAGTTCAGAGAATAAAGTGCAGGATCGTGGTCTTGTGATGGTAAGTGGGAAAAGATTTAATGACTCAGCCGAGGCGAGCACGTCAGGAGTGCGCAAATCCGAGATTAGTTCAACAGCGATTGTACACGCTGAAAGTTCCTCACATGGACTGACTGTTGAAGACGCCACGGACGAGGATACGAGCTCAGACGACACGGACGACAGTCAAGCTAAACTACACAAGGAAAGTGCATCGAAGATGAGAGGAATCGATAACCTTTCACATGACTGGAACAATCCCGACCGCGAAACCTCGCAACCATCCTCCAGAAGAAAATCTTCGAAATCTAAGTCGCGGCAATCAAGTCCCGAAAAAGAATCCAGCGCAAGAAAATCAAACGAATCTGGAGTGGTGTTTTCGAAAGAGTCTGGTATCAAATTCGTCTCCTCGCCAGAGGACAACGTCAGGAAAAACAAAGGTGTCACTGCGAAGACCACGCGAAGGGCAAGCACCGAACAGTTGAGCAGTCGCAAAGAGACATCCGACACCGTAGCGTTGGAGTTAAGCAAGCCTCGCAAGTTGAGTGCTAGCGCTATTCCAGATAATCCAGCGACTGGAATCACCACTTTGTTTTCAGCGAGCAGAAATGCGCCTCAACCTCTTGCACGCAAACAAGTCCTCCAACCCATTGCTCTGAAGAAACCACTCCCTAGAATCGAAGACGATGGGTGAATAATCATAATTCGACTTTTTGTATAAAGACTATTTGAATAAATACGAAAGCTCACATGATAAATCTAAGAAATTATGTACGACGTGCAAACGGTCTCTTGCCCTCATTTTAAATTTTATCTAAATTAATTTATAAGGTGGCCAATGTCACAGTAAGTAAAGGTTTATATTTCATCAATCTCTTGACATATTTCTTCTGCGTGTACAAGCCCTTAATACCAAATTTTTTTTCAAATTTTGAAGTGGGAATTTCGACGCCGACGAGTAATTTGTTGTATGACTTCGAGGCAAGGGTAGGTGGTCAAAAAATTTAATTTTACAAGTTAATTTACTTGTAACAAGGAAATGAACAAATGCATATCATTGAGTACACGCTAAGTTTTTCAAAATTACAACGCCTGATGAATACTAGAGAATTACAAGAGAGTTTGGGAGATTGTCTTCGTGAACTTTCATCGCACTGAACTCCTAGGAGGTCTTTTGTATGCAAATTCACATCATTATATTGAGAAGTAAATAGTATCGTAAAAGTAAAAAATATGTAATTTTCAACTGCTCGGAAAGTTTTCGAAATAGAGAACGTAATTTATTTGTGATAACTTTAAATATTGCAAATTTTTTGGCAATCTCTCATGAATTTTACAACTGCTAACATAACAAAATGTTTTATATATGGTTTATACAAAAATGAAAACTGAAGGTAATACCTTGATTGAGACCCTGTCATAAGATACCGATTACAGAGTTCACCTAATCCTAATTTGGAACTCGTACCAATAATACCGGCCCCTAAACGATCACGATATGAGCATCGGTCCCTTCGAGGGTGGTAATCAGTCACCCATGGTGAAGGTGTCACGAAAAAATTAGCGTATACATTTATCAATATTATAAATAGATATCAACCGAAACCAGCTCGGTGAAAAAACTGTCAGGGTCACACACATTATACTGTAAATTCTTCATATTCCTGTAGATTGTAGAATCATGCCAATCCTCAATAAGGAGACCACGATTTACGAACAACAAACTCCAGGTATCAAGTGATTTTCTATCTTATTAATAATCCTAAGTAGATAAAGATTAGTACAGTAGATTTATAATAAGATTAACTGAAATGAGACCAAATAAAATATCTGTACGTATATGCAGGACAGAGAAGCGGTTTTTCTGTAACTATTCTGATAGCGACTCTTCACTGAAGGCAGTTCACTTCATTCGCCTGTGCTACGATATCAAAAAAGATAATACGTCGTGAAAATATCGGAGAGACGTTACATTACGAGATAATGTTCTGAGACGATTCTAAAAAATAAAATCGTTTGTATTTCAAATGATTAAGAAAAAAATAAGTTCAAAAGCTGAATACGTTATAAAATCCAGAGTATTATTTAAATCGAAGTATGTTCAGCGTGATCTTGATTGGAAGATCAGATTTTAGCGTAAAATGTGCCTGGAATTCTCCACGTGAAATCGGCACGGTTTACACTTCTCTCAAAATAGTGGTAAATATTTCCGATATTTCTCTAAGAAAATTGGCATTAAAATTTGCAAAGAAATTATGAGCTCGACTGCAAAGAAGTGTGCGATATAGAAATAGAAGACCCAGCTTCATGCGTGGACATAACATGATTTGCCACGCGGTTATGAATAAAAACAGGTATTTTATTATCAACAGTGCACACAAAGGTAATTAGATCACAGGAAAAGATTCACCGCACATTAATGTACACAAACCTAACAAAGTGCGTTTAATGAGACATTAGGACTCCTCGAACATGTTAAATATATCGATATCATCACTAAATATCTAAGATTAGATTCACGTTGCACAACATTGACATTATCACACCAACGTTACATCGAAGAAACGCACACATATTCAGCTTTGTACGAAACACGCTCTTAATTAAACACGCTCTTAATTAAGGATCGTAAGGCTCAGAAAGTTGATGAGCTAGGAATACTATAAGCACATCACGGATAACTACTTCATGAAATGTGAACTGTTAAACGGTTCTTCATTTCCTATCAGTACCTTATGAATGCCGACAAAATTGCATTAGATAATTTGAAAGTAAAAACATGAAGGTAGCAACGATAAAGAGACAGAAAAGTAAAGCTTATGTCGAGTAGCAGCCCCTTAAATCACTGATATTGACCCTTTTGAAAAAAATTGCTCAGCGAAATAATTAATAAGAATAACTAATAATAATTAAAGTAATTAATTAGTTTGAATTTAATTTTTTTACGCACTGTGAATAGTCGATATGAAGTCTCAAAGATATCCGTGAGGTCGAGACAAATGGCACTCTTAGGTACCCAGAGTTTCTTCTGGTGTACTGTTCAAATGACTAACTTCCGAGAGCATTGACCATGAAAAATTTAAATAAATGAGTATTATTCAACGCTCTCCCTATAGCGAAAATTGTGTAATTCTCACTTGTTGTAAATAGAAAATACAACATGAAAAAGTTCTCTCATAAAATACAATATAAAAAAGTTCTCTCATTGATGACTCGTACATTTTATCGATGAGTTTTTACCTAAAAAAAGAATTAGTGTTAAGTACAGAATTAAGGAATATATTCTGAGGGTCTGACACTACAGTGAACCATAATCGTCTCGGGCAGGGTCCAAAATTTCCTAAATTAAATTAACCTATAATGAAAAGTTATCGTTTCACAGTATTTTTCTGCTCAAATACTCATCAAATGACATCGATTCCTGCTCTCGAATCATTAAAATGTAAGCTCAGTGGATTTATACCCGCGTTTCTAAGTCATAAACATTTCGGGCTGGATTGAGCAGCGCATACTGCAGCAGCACGACCAGGCGCCTGTTCAGGCGCACGTAACAAAACCACGACTAGGCGCGTTCGCTGTAAAACGCTGCACGACAGAGCTGCGTTCCCGCCTAGCTTCTCAGACATGCATTATAAATATTACCACCAAAATAATCTCTAATTAAAAATATCGCTGCATTTGCATTAATAATATCAGAAACGTATAACATAACCCACGCTAAGTTTTAGAGTGTTGCTGCGCCTAGCACCGGAGACGATTAGGTTAGCCGGCTGATGAAGCATTTGTTCACATCACTTCGACTGACTAAAGTTTTTGTTTTCGGATTATGAGAGATTCTTGAATGACTAGATGACTCGGTGGTACATTCAACTGGAAGAAACATACATCGGTTATGCGTCCATCCAAACAAGTAACGTAACATGTGGATACTCAAGGGGCTGTGATATAAATAATATGCGTTTAAAAATTACTTTCTAAAGACAACGCTTCTAAAGAACTGTGTCTACGATGTTACAAATGTAGAATGAATTTCAAATTTTTTTATCAAATATATCAAAGTATAACATATATTTATCACGAAATTTACTTTATTATCAAAGTAATTTTTAAATTTCATTTTTAAAATTAAAAAAATGTATAAAAATTACGTATTTATTCTGTCAATTGAATTTAGGCGACGCAGGCAAAATTTTCTCTAACTTTACGCAAGAGATCAAAATTTCAGTTCGATTGGACAGGTAGGAGTGTGTTAAATCGCGATTATAAGACATGTAGCAGACAAAAATATTTTTTAATTTTTTTTAATATTAGAAATAAATCTTTTTTCAATTTTAAAAATTATTTATTCTTTCAATTGATTCATGTATTGTCTCCAGCTTTGCACAAGTGCACCAAATTTCAGATCGATAGGACTGGTAGAGGTGTGTTAAATATCGATTATAGCCTAGGATGTGTAGCAGACAGACAAACAAACAACAAGAAGTGAAGTTAAATAAAGAGAAGTGTTGTAAAAAGAACTCGATTTTTGTCGTTCGAGATTGATTAGTCATGGCTGAACGGATTAATGTTCCAGTCTATGTAGTTCGACTCGCTGATCCTGATACTAACATCAACAACATTGAATAGAATGATCAGTTAAGATATCCATATATGCATATCAGTTCATCGAAGAAGAACATTTTTGAGCGACTGTAATTAATATAGAACTTATGTTAGAGAGTTACATGTTCACAAACAACTTCCAGCAACCTATTGACAACCATGTCATGTCTAACAGGAACTTAATAGTTAAGTATTTCCTATTGCTTCTGAAATATTGAAATATAGCCTGATCTACAGTGGCTTCAGGAATCAGAAGAAACACATCGAATTACTGAAGATGAGGAGTACATATTTCTTTCACAAAAAAATATCATCATTGAAAGATATAATTATAGGTTGAACACGTCTCACCTGTTACAAACATTTGAGAATATTCTAATGGCAGCGATTTTTAATTAACAATAATTAAACCATACGACGCTGTTAACATCTTTCAAAAGCTCGCCTATAAAGGTCTAGAAGGCTAAAAATAAGATGCAAAGGTTTGCATAACAAATTAAATCGCAGTCGCCATATTAAACCTATTCAAAATTCTACTCACAGTCATAACCGGTATGCCAAGCTCGCCTCCAAGAACATCCACGACTAGAATGGTTAACTAGAAGTTTGCTCACAAGGATGATTTCAGAAATACACCCAATCTAAGATACTCCTAGAGATAAATAATCCCGTTCGAATGATTATTATGGCTTAATTTGAGGACAATAATATTACTGAAATCAATAGATATAACTCAGAAGGAAGTTTATCTAATGTGCAGTTATTATCACCGTAAACAAATACTAAATCAAATTCATGTCGGAAAAGTGTACTGTAAAACTCCTTCGAAAACTGCTAGTAATTCAAGCTAGTTGAATATAATAAGTAAAATACTTTAAAAAGTCAGGATCCAAATAGATGCCTGAACCATAAATATCGTAGTGAAGCAAAAATATATTATATAAAAAGATGGCAGAAATTGTTATCATAAAAATTTTATGAACACATCTGAGTAACATAGATCTATAGTATAAAGCTTTCATTAAATCTGTTCTTCCAGAAGTTATATTTTTTCTCCCTTTAATACTTTATACAGATATTAGACATCGATTTCTGTCAGTACATGCCAAGATTATTCGTCGTAACTGCAATCTATTCTACCGGTTTTCCACATAACAAATTTTTCAAACTTTTCTGCAACCGTTCAAATCTCGAATTTAAATGACTTAGATGACGGATTTTCCACGTTCAAATTAAATTCGAGTCTCAAGTATGTGAGGGAGAAGCAGTACGGAGAAACTACCTACTTATCTGCTCTAAACTACCTGCCGCTGAATTCAGTTAGATTATGAACGGGAAAAATTATAGTATTTCTGGTATTCCGTACTAATGAATTTCTTCCTCGTATGCATACATTAAAAAAAATATTTTTTCATCTTATTCTCCCGCACTGAGTAAGAATGAATATCAAAGAAGAGGTCACCAAGACGACGAATAAGAATGTTTCTAAAATTGAGCGAATTACGACCACGCACCACACATTTCGTCTCATCTCGTATATTAAACTGAGTTGAGCCGACACAAATGATACTGACTTCGGCTAGCAATACGATTGACCGGCCGATGTTCTCAAACATATTTCAATCACAACCGCCATCCAAAAACTCTTCTACGGTCCTCACGTCAGCTCGAACTCTTTGCCTTTATTTTCCTCATTACCGTAGATTTTTTCATCAAATTTAATATCTTCAAGGCCTGGTAAAGTCATGATATAACTTCGGCTAGCAACAGGATGGACCGGCCAATGTTCTCAAACATATTTCAATCACGATTTCAATCATGATAGTCATTAAAAAACTCTTCTCTGGTCCTCATGTCAGCTCGAACTCTTTGCCTTTATTTTCCTCATTACCGTAGATTTTTTCATCAAATTTAATATCTTCAAGGCCTGGTAAAGTCTTGTGCGCGATGACCAGCGTGATGATACGGTTACGCTAGCTCGAACTCTTTGCCTTTATTTTCCTCATTACCGTAGATTTTTTCATCAACTTTAATATCTTCAAGACTCAACAAAGTTATAAAAAATCTTCTACGGTCCTCACGTCAGCTCGAACTCTTTGCCTTTATTTTCCTCATTGCCGTAGATTTTTTCATCAACTTTAACATCTTCAAGGCCCGGTAAAGTCTTGTGCGCGATGACCAGCGTGATGAGGTCCGCGCGCCCGGCCAGCGCCACCACCACACACCTGCTGTCGGCGCTCACCTCGCACGCCGTCACCGGACTGTCGGGCGTCCACACCGAGAGGCTGGCTCCTGTCGGGGTAGTGAATCTAACGATAAGATCATTCTGATTTAAATTAACAATAGCGCACGCTTGAAAATTATTTGCTCCTTATTTATCTCCATATTTTTCTCCTTATTTCTATCTTTTTTTTCTACATATTTTTTCCATATTTTTTTCGTATTTTTTCACGATATTTTTCTCCATATTTTATATCCATATTTTTATCCTTTAATAACTAGGAGTATACAATTACATCAAGTCACTGAATTGTATATAATTACAGCAGATCAGCTGATTTCGAGTCAACAGACAAATTGGGCACAAATGGTTAGCAGCCATGGAAATAGTGTTTGAATGATCTAAAAAAATCATGGACTATCTTACATATTTTTTGCTTTCAGGTATTCTCAACAAGCAAAACGCTTCAATGAAGTTATGGTGCTTCTAAGGTTATCCTTCAATGAGGTTATGATGCTTATCCTCTCGCAGATTGCGAGAGGATAAAACTGCGGTAATTCAAGATGGCGTCTGTGGTAAAAATTAAATTTCCCCACCAAGCTCTCCTCGAGGCCGCGAGAGGCCATCGAAATCAGACTTAGTGACGCATGATAGCGGGATTTCGCTCCAACAAACTGACAATTCAAATTCTTTTGCCCAAAGTAAAACTACAAAATATGGTTTCTCATTGGGTTGACAGATATCTTTGTACATTACTCGAGTGGTCGAGTGGTGTAAGGAAAAAACAGGGATGACAACAATCCCAATCCCAAAAAACAAGGGATGACGCATTGGGGTTTATGCCGCATGTAGAGAAAAATTGTCTGCAACTTGGCTTTGCTGTGTAATACTTGGTTGATGTACTACTTGAAGATAAGTTACCTGGTTTTAATTTGCAAATAAAGGAATTAAAAGAATATTCCTTGCGCCAACTCCGACATTTAGCCTGTGGCAAATGCACTTCAACTTGTGCCTCTTTATATCGTACACATTATACAGCGGCGCTTGTTTGACATACCTAGTTCAATAGTTGAAACGTTTCCATTTAAACCACTAAACTAAATATTTCAAGGGGCACAGTCACTGTAAAAAAATTGAATTGTTTAAAATTTGGGAAGTAATGAAATAAAATAAATGAATTCGTCATTCTTGAAGAGAAAAATAAGCGAAATTATGTTGATTGTTGACCTGTTTGCATGTCCCAGATTCGAATGGCCCGATCGTGCCCCGTGGAGTCATAGGTGAGCACGAACGTGCCCCTGGGGTCCACGCGTATCGTGTCTGCGGGGTACGTGTGACCTTTCACGAGCCAACGCGGGTTGCCTGCGTTAAACGCAAAATTAGTTCATTAAAATTCATACAGTATTCATTCATAAAAGGAAAGGCGTCTCTTGGCGAAAGGTTTCACCAGAGAGCTATCAGCATATCATAAATATTGCACGAAAAATCACACAAGTTTATTAAAACAGATTAGGGAGAACTAGACAATGAAAATATAGAATTCCTAAACAAAATACAAAATGGTCATAAAATAGTAATACATCCATAATATCTTGATGGTCTGAACATGCAACCCGCTAAGAGAATTCCTAAACAAAAAATAAAATGGTTTCAACATATTAGTAATACATCCATAATATCTTGATGGCCTGAACATGTAACCCGTTAAAAGAATTCCTAAACAAAAAAACAAAATGGTTTCAACATATTGATAATACATCCATAATATCTTGATGGTCTGAACATACAACCCGCTAAAAGAATTCCTAAACAAAAAACAAAATGGTTTCAACATATTAGTTAAACATCCATAATATCTTGATGGCGTGAACATGTAACCCGCTAACCGTACCTGTGACCAGGTCGTTGGCCGTTACCGTGGCGTCCTCCAGCGCTGCCACGACGCTGCCACCGGGCGTGGAGATGGTCAGGGCCAGGCTGCTCGCGCCAGGCTTCCAGCGCTTGAACAAAGTGCCGCTCGCCAGGTCGTAGACCACGATGAAGTTCACCGCGTGCTCCTCTTTTTCCTGTCAACACACAAAGTCTTGAAATGTGCAGAATTGGTGAAGTTGAACTTTTGAACTGATGAAGTTGACCGCGTGTTCCTCCATTTCCTGTGAAGGGAAAAGTGTTGAAATGTACAGAATTGATGAAGTTGAACTTTTGAACTGATGAAGTTGAATTGATGAAGTTGACCGCGTGCTCCTCCATTTCCTGTCAACACACAAACTGTTGAAATGGGCAGAATTGATGAAGTTCACCCCGTGCTCTTCCATTTCTTGTGAACACACAGTCTTTAAATGTGCAGAATTGATGAAGTTGAACTTTTGAACTGATGAAGTTGACCGCGTGCTCTTTCATTTTCTGTGAACACACAAAATGTTGAAATGGGTAGAATTTCAAGATTGGATCTCCTTTTCTCTAGGCGGACGGGTCAGTGAATAGAAGCAAAGTATAAGCAATCGAGCGGACAGTCGAAAATATGCGTCAGAATTTTCTTCTTTGACGATTGTTAAATGTTATGTACATTCCCCACGAAGTGTATGGCCGAGAGCATAACATAGTCAAATGTGATTATGTTATGTAAGATAATCAAATGTGTAAAGTAATTTTGTGCTTGGTGGTAGCGTTCCACTCACCCTACAGACGCAGGCGACATAGCACTCACCCTACAGACGCAGGCGACGTAGCACTCACCCTACAGAATCACCCTACAGACGCCGGCGACAGCACTCACCCTACAGACGCAGGCGACAGCACTCACCCTACAGATACAGGCGACATTGCACTCACCCTACAGACGCAGGCGACGTAGCACTCACCCTACAGACGCAGGCGACGTAGCACTCACCCTACAGACGCAGGCGACATAGCACTCACCCTACAGACGCAAGCAACATAGCACTCGCCCTACAGACACAGGCGACATAACACTCACCCTACAGACGCAGGCGACATAGCACTCACCCTACAGGCGACATAGCACTCACCCTACAGACGCAGGCGACATAGCACTCACTCTACAGACGCAGGCGACATAGCACCCACCCTACAGACGCAGGCGACATAACACTCGCTCTACAGACGCAGGCGACATAGCACCCACCCTACAGACGCAGGCGACATAGCACTCACCCTACAGACGCAGGCGACATAGCACTCACCCTACAGACGCAGGCGACATAGCACTCACCCTACAGACGCAGGCGACATAGCACCTACCCTACAGACGCAGGCGACGTAGTGTCCCTCGCTGGTGATGGCAACAAAGCGGGTCAGGAACTCATGATGCGGGATCCTGAGGTCGTACATGAGCTTGCGCTGACTCAGGTCCCAGACGAGGAGCGCTGACACCTTCTGCGTGTCGTCGCCGCACACGCACGTCTTGCCGTTCTCTGACACCGTCAGGCTGTTCAGGAACCTGTCTTCCCCAACCTGTTGTACGGGGCGGTGGTTCAGGTTATAATTAATGTTAGTGGTGATTAATTAACGGCACGTCTTAACGTCTAATTGATTAACGGATCGTCTGATAACGTCAGGCTGTTCTGGAACCTGTCTTTGCCAACCTGTTGTACATAGGTGGTTCAGGTTATAATTAATGTTACTGATGATTAATTAGTAACATTAATTGTGACATAATTATTTATTATATTATATAATATATTATGGATATATTATTATTATTTCATTATGAAGTTATTACTAATGGATTTATATTTAATTGATAATGTTTTAACATATCAACTATTTGTTAATTACTCCGAAAAACTATACCGTTTAATGTTCATGCTACCAGTCAAATAGTGTTCATGAATTATTGATAATTAATTGAAATCACGAGCAAAATTGTGACAGTCAGTAGGAAATGAAAAACATCGCTGAGCGAAAGAAAACATTCGGGATTGTATACTCGGAGTTCTGAAAATATACGTCAAGAAGACTCTTCTCTTCCCTCACCTTGAATGTTGCGACGCACTCCCCCTTGGCAATGTTCATCATGTTGACGTACATGCGGGAGCGCGAGAGGGCAACCACGTGGTCAGGGCGGTTAAGACCAAAGAACGGCATCTTTTGGTTCATGACCTCACGCAGCTTGATAACCAGCTCCCCCGTGTCCAGGTTGTAGATGCGCAGCTCACGACCACACAGCAGCAAGCATTGAAAATCATCTATCATCTGCAGGATAATGACAGGAAGTCATCTATCTATCATCAGCAGAATGGCATGCAGTTATTCTAGCTGAAGCAGCGGTACACTAGGATGGCGCTTCAGCGTGACCTGGGACTGCTATGTCGGAAGCGCTTACAAAGTATTATTACCAGAAAAAAATTATACACGTGTTAGTGCAGTAGTTATTAGAGTAAAGGGCCTGTAGCGACCATGTATATACATTTCCTTCAGTTACCCCCGTAACTCATTTTCGAGGAACATTGCTAGCCTAGTGAATTTTAGCAGAGTTACCCATTAACTCTGGCTCAACATTATTATCCATGTTATTGCCTTAAGCATCATTGTCAATTAGCAACTGCAGTTAATTTCCTGTTAGATATTATTTGGCTACATATTTATATTATTAGCACCGACCTAGGATATTACAACGTCAAGTAACTCCAGTTGTCATAATCCTTTACATATCTGTAATACTGTTCGTAATCTGGCCTTCGGACCTTGACCCAGTAAATTAGGAGAACTCCTACTGTGTTTCATTTCCCAGTACGAAACACAATTGTAAGACGCTAGCACAGTCTGGTCTCTGACTTACACGCCTTAGCCGAACCACAGGGCGTTTGGTACAACCAAACGTTTGGCACGAGTCACAGACCTTAAGGGACTCAATACCGCGCTGCTAGCATTCCCACGTCTTACAACTGGCGACCCTGAGCTCTCATCAGAGTTCACCCACTCCTCGCACCACTCCGCACTAGGGCAACGATCGCTACGTTGCGTGAACGGAAGCTGCCCCCGCGCGGAGCCTGCCAGACGGTAGTCCTACACACTGCGCCTCACTGCTGCGCACAAAGAGGTTTCATTCACGTGGTTCTCCTCGGCACAACTGCAGAATCTCCTACCCTGACACCGGTCAGGCAAGCCGCTTCAACCGACTCCCACACAGACCTGTCAACCGACTCACCGTCTGTATCGGCAGTTGCACTGAAGCTGCCACAAATATGGAGACAGGACCCGTTTGCCTGGTTTGCATACGCCGAAACAAATTTCAACCTACACGGCATACTGGTCGACTTGAAAAAGCGCGTTTTAGTGGACGGTACAACCAATTTGAAAACAACTGGCCACCCCGTTAATAGTGTTCAATGTAGGATTTCGATTATCAACAGTGCAAATGTCAGCAAGTACGATAAGCTACTATTGAAATTCCCATCTCTACTCAAGCCTTTGAACACCGATGTTCCTTTGAAACACTCAGTGTGCCACCATATTGAAACTACCGGTCCTCCAGTGCATAGCAAAGCACGCCGGTTAGCACCAGATCGCTTGCGAGCAGCAAAACAAGAATTTGAGCACATGTGTGAGTTAGGCATAGCGAGACGTTCTATCAGCAGCTGGTCGTCAGCCTTCCACATGGTTACCAAGAGCAACGGTGACTGGCGTCCATGTGGCGACTATAGAGCACTTAACACTCGAACAGTTCCTGATCGTTACCCTCTGCCATTCATACAAGACATTGCATCATCCCTCGCGGGTAGCACGATCTTCAGCAAAATTGATCTAGTGCGCGCCTACAATCAAATTCCGATTTACGAAGCGGACATTCCGAAGACTGCAATCACAACTCCCTTTGCCTTTTTGAATTTGTTCGCATGCCTTTCGGACTACGCAATGCCGCGCAAACGTTTCAGCGTTTTATAAACGAAGTTTTAAGGGGCCTCCCACTTCGCTTATCCGTATCTTGACGACGTATTGATTGCCAGTCCCAACTGTGAAGCTCACTACAAGCACCTTGAAGCCGTTTACAAGCGACTGGAGTCATTCGGCATTTCAATAAACAGAGACAAATGTGTTTTTGGAACAGCATCCATTGATTTTCTTGGACACAATATTACAGCTTCTGGTATATCCCCTCTGAAACAAAAATGCGAGCTTATCAAGCAGTTCCCTCGGCCTGAAGATCAACAGGCACTGCGCCGTTACTTAGGGATGATAAACTTTTACAGGCAATTTATCCCTAACTGTGCTGCTTTACTCGCGCCTCTCCATGGGATGTTGACACCTTCAAAGCGAGGATTGTCGACAAAACTTACCTGGACGGATGCTCAGCAACAGGCTTTTGAAACATCCAAACAAGCTTTATCTGGTGCTCAGGTGTTATCTCATCCTCGGCCTGACGCAGAATTGAACCTTGCAGTAGACGCATCTGATTTTGCAATCGGAGGAGTTCTACAACAGAAGATCGACGACCATTGGCAACCCATTTCTTTCTACTCACGAAAACTTTCGGCACCAGAGAAAAACTACAGTGCATTTGGAAGAGAATTGCTAGCAATTTTTGCAGCAATCAAACACTTTGAACACCTGCTCGAAGGTTGATCTTTCCACGTTTAACCGACCATAAACCATTATCGTTCGTTTTTAATGCTAATAGAACTTCTCACCCACCTCGTGTGCTGCGTCAACTAGAGTTCATATCCCAATTCACTACAGACATTCGACACATCAAAGGCAGTGCCAATGCCCCTGCTGATGCACTGTCCCGCATCCAGTAAGTGTCTACTCCACAAATTCTCGAAGATATCGCAACCGCGCAGGCTAAATGCGCAGAGTTAGCTTCTGTGGAAAAGAACACATCTCTGGTTCTCCGCAAAGTCCAACTTCCAGGATTGCCAACTGAAATCTGGTGTGACGTAAATGGTACTCGAACACGCCCCTTTGTGCCAAAAGATCTGCGTTACCAGGTTTTCTCGTCGCTCCACAACCTCTCGCACCCAGGTATACGGGCGACTCAACATTTGATATCGCAGAGATACGTCTGGCATTCAATTAATAAGGACGTACGATCGTAGGCACGCAAATGTTTACAATGCCAACGATCGAAAGTTCACCGACACACCCGATCCCCTCTAGGTACCTTTGCCCTTCCCTCGTGCCGTTTCGACCACGTCTACGTCGACATCGTCGGTCCACTTCCGGTAAGCCAGGGATATCGATACCTATTGACAGAGGTGGGCAGTAGCGCGCTACATGTAGCGGCCGCTACTAGCGGCCGCTACATTTTCAGTAGCGGTAGCGGTAGCAGCTCTACATTTAAGCCAATGTAGCGGTAGCGGTAGCGCCCGCTACATATTTATGTAGCGATACGAGGTTTTGCCGCTACAGCGCTACCGCTACATTTATAGACAAAGCCTTTAGATTTTACTTAAGAGGACCGGCTACCCTCCAACAAAACTTTTTTGTTTACAGACGGATCGTTTTGAAACTTGGTACACATATGTAAAACAGAAATCTAAGACATTTTTGTTCATGTAAATTTAAAAAAAAATGAAAGAAAACGTGGAATTAATAGAAAACGGCACATAAGGGGTACTCTAAAAAAGTTTATAACTTTTGCAAATCACATGCTACAATGTCGAGACACAAGCATTCGATTTGTAACAACAATATCTAGCGACTGTAGAGCCCCGATTTTTTATATTCCTCATCGGTTTTTTCGCGTTCTTCCCATTTTTTTGACATTTTTACCCCCCCCACCTTCTTCCCCCTCCCATATATAAGTCAAACCATGCACATATTAAAAAAAGGCTTCTAGAGTCGCTAGGTATTGTATTTACAAATCGAATGGTATGTCTCTCATTGCCGTAGCTTGAAAACTGTTGGAGTTATAATTTTTTTAAGATGGCGTTTTTTGGATTTTTAAATTGTTCAGGGGAGCCAAATATAGTAAAATTCATTGAAAACAGAAGAATATGCCCAAAAAGTCTTGATATTGTAGCCCAAGCTCTCCTATTGTCAATTATTTGCATTTAAGGTACCAGCACGCGTCTTTAGACCTATTTATGTTCAATTTAACGTGGATAATACGTTATAAATGGGACTTTTTATGTATAAATATATATATAAAATATTCATTTTACATAACTTTACAACTGCATAACGCAAAAACTATTGCATGAACATCCATGGTAGTAGCTTTGTTAAACGCGTCTTGTTTGTAGCTTTCAAACGAGTGCAAACACTTTGCAATTAACCTAAATAATGACATATAAATACCATCTATTTGTAAATAATGATATAAAATGATCATTTTATAAAAGTTCAAGACTGAATTGCAAAAAAAAAAATTGCATGTACATCTATGGTAGTAGCTTTGTTGAACGCGTCTCGTTTGTAGCTTTCAAACGAGTGCAAACACTTTGTAATTAACGAGAGTAATGATTTATATATACAGATTTAATTCAAATAAATCTTTGTACATATTGTTAAAAAATGTTCATATATACATTTTTAAAATTGTCTTACGCAAAAATTATAGCACGCACAGATATGCGGTAAACTGCGTTAGACGCGCCTTTTCAGCAGCTACAAAATGAGTACAGAAAACGGTAAAGCCAAAATTTCCGATTTTTAGGGTAGCCGGTCCCCATAATAGTATTAAATATTATTTAAAAACCAGCATGATACATATACAATATAAATTACAGAATAAAACTGTACGAAAGATTTCGGTGTAATGTTGTCAACCTCAGCCTGTTACTAGTGTCAACATTTTAGTTGTTACCTGTTAAATTGTTACCAGTTACCACTTACAGGTTTTTTCATCTCTCAGTTTGCTTACAGTTATTTTTACACATTTATTTTTATGTTTCACCTTCCCTACATGGATGTCTACTTTAATCTACCAATGTCAAAAATAATCCACATATATATACAAAAAAGACTGATTTTTATATGTATATGTGGATAATTATTTAGGTTGGTAGATTAAAGTAGACATCCATGTAGGGAAGGTAAAACATAAAAATAACTGTAACTTTTATTTACTGTATCTAACCCATACTAGTTCGGTTAGGTTAATTGCAATAAAGTTGCATTGATATGTTTTAAAAATGTTTTATTATCATTAAATGTTAATGAGTAAATCCCAATAGCAGAACAATGAATATTAAGAGATTTCTAATAATTTTGGCCATTGTAGCGGCTAATGTAGCGCGCTACATTTTACTGTAGCGGTAGCGGTAGCGCGCGTTACAATCTAGTGGATGTAGCGGAAGCGGTAGCGCCCGCTACATTTAGAGCATGTAGTGTTAGCGGTAGCGGCGCTACATTTCAAAGTAGCGCTGCCCAGCTCTGCCTATTGACATGCATAGACCGGTTCACACGATGGCCAGAAGCTATCCCCATCACCGACATTTCCGCCGCTACTGTAGCACAAGCTTTTCTTCACCTTTGGGTTAGTCGATTCGGCGTACCCTCCACGGTAACCACAGACCGTGGTCGCCAGTTTGAGTCGTCCCTCTGGCGTGAACTGCAACAGTACCTTGGAGCTCATCATATCCCCACTACAGCATATCATCCGCAAGCTAACGGGTTAGTGGAACGTTTCCACAGACAATTAAAGTCATCCATAATGGCTCACGGGACATCTCCCAGCTGGATGGTTTCCCTGCCACTTGTTCTGCTCGGCATAAGGTCTGTGTTTAAACCAGATTTATCTTGCACCGCCGCAGAATTGGTATAGAATTGGTATATTGGTAACAAGTCTGAGGCTCCCTGGCGATATCTTTGTCCCTTCTTCTACACCAGTCGACCCTCAACAGTTCATTGGCCAGCTCCGAGAACGAATGACTGAACTTCGGCCAACAGCTCCACGAAACAGAACATCAATGAAACCCTTTGTATCGGATGATTTAAAAACTTGCACTCATGTCTTTCTGCGTCGCGATATGATTCGCTCACCATTGCAGCATTCTTATGATGGCCCTTATAAAGTTTTGAAGCGTTTCAATAAAACTTTTGTCATCGATTGTCAAGGAAAGCATGAAACTGTATCCATCGATCGTTTAAAACCTGTATTTTTAGAAAATGATAGCCAATCTACTGGCTACAAGACGCGTTCAGGTTGCTTTGTCAAACCTAGTCGTAAGGTAACGATCGAACCTCTTTCGATCTAGAGGGGGATATCTGTAGCAACCATGTATATATTTCCTTCAGTTACCCCCGTAACTCATTTTCGAGAAACGTTGCTAGCCTAGTGAATTTTAGTTACCCATTAACTCTGACTCAACATTATTATCCATGTTATTGCCTTAAGCATCATTGTCAATTAGCAACTGCAGTTGATTTCCTGTTAGATATTATTTGGCTACATATTTATATTATTAGCACCGACCTAGGATATTACAACGTCAAGTAACTCCAGTTGTCATAATCATTTATATATCTGTAATACTGTTCGTAATCTGGCCTTCGGACATTGACGCAGTAAATTAGGAGAACTCCTACTGTGTTTCATTTCCCAATACGAAACACAATTGTAAGACGCTAGCACAGTCTGGTCTCTGACTTACACGCCTTAGCCGAAACACAGGGCGTTTGGTACAAGCAAACGTTTGGCACGAGTCACAGACCTTAAGGGACTCAATGCCGCGCTGCTAGCATTCCCACGTCTTACAGGTTAAATAACAATAACACGGGTTCTGTTGCTGGTTTAGTTATTTGCATCTCTAGCTACCTACCTTCACCTTCCTCTATGACCCTCACAGCAACATGCAGCTGACGACGAAATGACGGAGGTGGATGTCTGGTTTACGAGGTAATTGCTCTTATGTTTAGTCAATGTTTGTTATCAACTACCAAGAAAAAGTATCTCACTTAAGTGTTTCGGCAACAACGCATTCGACGACCAAATGTTGCGGTATGGGTTACAGCAATCAGTTGCTACAACAGGGCGTAACGAAAATCAAGTGTTTTTCAAGTGTGTTTTGGCAAAGGTGTAGTGGCCATTTAGTGTTCACGCACTCCATCTCCACTTGTAGTGTTGGATTTGTGTTATCGTATCTAGCGATGAAAACAAAACGTGTTGCGGCCATCATGTTTTGTAGCGATCAAATGGTTTGGAAAATTTAGTGTAGGCTGAATTTCTCTTCCTCTATAAATACTTTAGCTGCTTCGTAGCTCGTGCTCCTGGTGGGGGCTTGTCGCTGATGCAGAGGTAAATTCTCGAGCCACTCCTGTCGGAACAACGTCGATTTATTCTCACCTTAGTCCGAGTTGAAAATTGGTATCAATTTGTGTAGAAAATATAAATTTTTAATCAAAAATAAAAGGTTCTAAGAAGGAAAAATTTATTGAATGGGGTCAGACTGTGCAACTTATAGGCTCCTAACGGTGAAGATTTTGTTAGCAAATCTACGATTTAACAAAGCTTGCGTAATTTTTGTCTGTTTACAAACCCAAATCGTTGCCACGATCAAGTGGCTCTACATATGTCTACTCACTCTTCGCTCCGGGTGCACGTGTCGCCCTTCACTTCGGTTCTGATGTGCTGCTCGAACAGCCTCACCAGCAAGCTCTGCACCTCTTCAGTACGCAGCTTGCACTCCCACAGCACCAGCCATGCAAACCTGAGCACATAAACTTTAATGCTGTTCTGGACTCAAAAAATCGAACGTGCCTGCGTGTATACGAACGAAGTGCAACATTTTCACCCATCCCCTAACCCTTCAACGCTTCCAACAAGCCATAAAAACTACAGCGGTAACAGCATAGAAATAAACCCTAATGCTGTTTTTCAGAAAGAATTAGCAAATTGAAACGTTTATGCCGGGTTTCAAATCACAGATAGGCTCCTAGTCTTTCTTCGACCTTCAAATCCACCTATGCGATACACCAATTCCCAAGCACCTTTCCATCTACATAGTACGGATACTAATTGTTTTGACGTAAGCATCCTTCAGCGTAAGAAAAATCTGAACATCAAAATAAAATTATCACAAAATTCTTTACAAAACAGACACTCAATGAAAGTCCAAGTCTTGAAGGTGGTCTCGCATGAAGAGCACTCTTTGAAAGGCGACTCGCATCACTCAAAAACGTTCACTGTCAGTTGATAAGTTTTAATGTATTCATTAGAGTTTCAAACTTTAAACTTTTTGTAGGCAAACGTATTTATCCGTCTAAAAAATCAAAAATAAAATTCCTAGAATAAAACAGACATAATGGGATAGTATTACGTTTTTAGACGAACTTGATGAATTCAACTTGTCGTCAAACGAATACACATCTTTTACGTTTATAAAGACTCGGATAAAAATGCCTCCTCTAAGATTCACCTTTTGCTGAGAGGTGCGAGGGAGGTGATTAGGTGAGCCACGGCCTCCCACGACCCAAGCTCTGCCCCGTGCACATTCAGCCCAGGATCAGGCGGGGCAGGCAGCCTCCAGACATGGGATTTATGGGAGGAAGTGGGCAGAGGGCGCATCGTCACATCTGAGTGAGGTTAAATTAATTAACGATAGCAATGTGGACTTAAAAAAAATAACGGTATGGACTTCAAATAAGCTCTGAAATGGCAGTGAGTTGGTCTTTGCAATGGCGGTCACTGAACTGCATGGTGGATATGCCAGCACCTTGACAGAAGAAAATATCGCCTTCGACCATTGTAAGTGGTCAATGAGTAACGAGAAGGGTGCTGGCCTAATGAACAGCGAACCGACAACGATATATTCTCTACTTCCAATGTCTGACTCGTTTCATCTAATTTTATGGAATTCGATGATTGGATCTATGTTTTCGATAGAAATTATTTGTTTAGCGTAAAAAGCGTTGATGTGGAGTTACATCGGAGCTGCAGTCATACGTTTGTTGTGAAGTTAGGGTGCGCACTGCGCCGTACTCGAAACTAACTAATGTAGGTTCAGAATAGCCATAAATTTGTTGACGCGGAGGGATATATTTTTGGGTGGTACGTAAGAGTCCGAGTACATCTGGAGAGCTACTGCACTGTAGCGTCGCTGGTGTGTGGTTTAATAGCAGCTCAATTCTTGCAATTTATTCATAGCAAAATAAATCATTACATTACAGCTTAGAACAAATAGAATTTACATGAAATTTTAGATCATTCAGAAAGATGAATAATTGAGCGTCAAAAATGCAAACAAATAAGTTGGCATCTAATACGCACAGGTGGTCCGAGGGTCACGAGGTTGAAACCTTAGGAATAACTTTGCAAAACTCACCAAGTCTCTCGTATTTGCCACTGAGGGCGCTGAGGTCCAGGGGCGCCGACATTCTGACGGAGAGCTCACAGGCATGAGCCACCGTGACAAGAGCGGCCACACCAGCAGGAGTACCAACGCACCCGTCGAAGCGAACCAGTCTCAGTCTGTAGCATTCCGAATGTTTTTCATGCAAAGTGACGGCATGGGAACTATTATTCTAAAATTAAGTCAATCAAGCACTAATCTTTATTACGATGGCCTACCAGGCGCCAATGTTCAGTACAGAAACTTTCGTACGTTCATATAAAATTAGACAGCTTTTTAAACGCACATGTATGCAAATGTTACATACATTTATCTAGTGAATGTCTGAATATTAGGGCTTGACGCTTTTCATTCAAACTCTACGAATGCGTTATTTTGAAAAACAAATAAGTTGATTCGATTTCAACGTAATTTGTTAAAAAAACTACAGTATTTCTCTCCATTGTTTGCAATAGATTAAAACCTCCAATTCAACTAGTTGCTCCAGAGTCACGGTTTAAGTACATTTTTAAAAGCTACAATATCCAACTTAATTCAGAACCCGATAGTTGCATAACGTGTTACGACACAGAACCCACCTACGCAGCTTCTTTCGGAAGATCCTTACTTGCTGTTGAGCAGCGGCAGGAGTAGGTCGTCGTGACGGTTGAATTTGTCGTCAGGAGGGCTCAACAGCTCGAGCCAGAGGGTCCCTATACGACGGTCCACCACCTCCCCCCAGCGCGTCTCCGTCAGGTCCAAGGGAAACATCTTCACGTGCAGGAGCAAGGGCTGCGCGTGAAGCAACATTGCCGCAAGACACGCGACATCTCGACCTGGAACACGTAAACATGGCACACGTAAACATGGCACACCAGAGGAGGTCATGCTGTAGGCTATGTATGCCGAGGAAGTACAATACAGTTTGCTTAGTGAATGTAAATGTTCATTTCTCTAGGTAAATTTGAATCTACACTTATTTGAATTAGAAAGGACTGTGAGTTATGCTTATCCATTGTCTTAGGTTTCGAGCTTGAAGAATTGGTAAGGCGCATGACAAACTTACATATTTCATTTCATTTTACTTGGAATTTGATTTTAGAATTTTTAATAGTTATCTCCGTAAAATTGTCATGCATTTTATATTTATTCTTACAACAGGAAAATCCTAAAATAATACTATAGTGTATTCACTTAATGAAAGCCTTAATAATAATATGTATCAACTTAATGAAAGCCTTAATATTGATTAAAATTTTGATGGAAAAATCTAAGGCTGGAGTACATATTTAGCTTTCCAAAATTATAAGAGATGTTGTTAATTTTCATTACAAGGTAATAATTTTACTAGGCAAGTACGCAAAGAGTTTACCCTCACACTTGTTCACGCTCTAACGCACGATAAATTTTCAATACAATATGGCAGTATGAGTGCACCCGAGGAGCACGATTATCCAACGCCATCAGCGTCAACTTCATCGCGCGTCACTATGTTAGAGATGACGTTAATGATGGTGAGAGTCAGGAGATCAGAGTCGACGGCTGCAGTTCAGCGGATGGCGAGAGCGGCGTCAACTGTGCAAGCTTGCGATTTACTGGCTACGGAGTTTGCTAACGACACCGGAATTGACTTTACTAATATTACTTTAGTAGTAGTTCACTACCAACTAATAATCCTTGAAAACTAACAAATAACTGAGTGAGTAAACTGATAAACAATTCCAGATAACGAAAACACATCATATATCACTGGTCAGAGACCTAACATCGGTGTTAGTTGAGAAGTATCTTCCCAAATGAGACGGTAACTTTGACGTTAACTTTAAAATAGAATAGAAGTGTCGGCATTGAAGAAAATAGGCCCATGGCCGCTGATTAGTCGAATACAACTTCATGGCCTATAGTCGAATACAACTTTATTGTATGATTATTTCACACGAAGTTATTTTGCTTCAAAGCAATGTAATTATAATTTGATACTTGCAAATATCTTTGTCTCATATTACATTTTCACATATGCGCTGAAATTTTCGTACCGGTATACTGATACCTGTACTTATTAAAAAAATATAACTCAGTACTCACTGCAGTGAGTGACAGAGAGCGCATTTTCCCAAAATCGACGAAAACGTGAAGTCCCAGACAGACAGACGGACGGACGGCCATGGCGAGCACAATAGCGCCTTTTTTCCATAAATGAAAAAATGTGCTACAAATGTCCGTATTCAAAATAAAAAAAATAGTCCATGTTCAAAAATCAAAAAATGAAAAGGATGCTCACCAGATTTGACTTTCCATGTGGTATTCTCATTAAGCGTGGTGAGGGCGGCGAGCTCCGCCACCTGCACCACGTCAGGGCATCTGTACAGGCAGTCCTGCCACGCGCGGCCGCTCAAGACGCCAGCGTCGCCCAGCGCGCGCCGCAGCTCCGGCCAGCGTCTCTGGAAGACCAGGGGGCTGCTGCTGTGCAGTTCGTGCACCACGTACTGCAGCACCTCGCGGAAGCTGAACAATAATGTTTATACAGATTTAATTGGATTGCTTGTTAAGGCATCGATTGATAGTAAAGCGTGTACTGTCAGTAAATCTCATAGATGATAAAGGCTGTCAGGTCGTCCGACGAATGGCAGTGAACACAAGTTGTTTGATATGGTATTAGAAATATAATATAGAACATAAAACTAGGCACTAGGCAATTTAAAAATAAGATACATTTTTGCATTCACGATCAGAATCGACAGTGCTTTCAAATTTTGATTGCCCGTCCCCCTACTTATTTATGTTAAATATTTATATACAAGACGAAGTCTGCTTTTTACCCGATTAAATATTTTTACTTGAACATGGAAATAGTAGTGACAATAGTCTCGAGAAAAGACACGCTTCGTGGCAGATGCGCTTCAGATCTTTGCTTTCGCCCGCGGGACATGACCTGAGTTTCGCTAATATAGGACGGCAGGTCACGCCGAGCCTCAGGTAAGATATGGGGGGGGGGGGATTGTGATAAGCAGCATAAAAGAAAGCTTTCAAACATCCCTAAATTACCTTGCATATTTTCGATCTGCCTTGCAGCATGAGCACAACAGCTGTCGCCAAGACAACCTGCTGAATTAAATGTGATTAGAATGAGTTAAATAAGAAAAAGGGAGGGAGAACTAAGAACAATATAAATAATATAAAGTAGATAATGCTTTGCGCATGAAAATTCTCTAAAATGTAATTGTTGAATAGATTTTCCGTAGTATCATTGATCAAGACTGAATAGAGATTAACAGATTTGTAATTTTTTATTTTGATTTTCGTACACAAAATGTGAACACCTCACCAGCGAGGTGTTTCTACCATGAGTGATACAATTATGATTCAATTTTATGGCAATGTGCCATAAATCCGATGGCTTCTAAGATACAAGCATAGTGAAAAAGCATATTATCTCTATTGAGGTTTGCAATTATTCCTACAGGCTCGAGCCAACGCCGTGGTAAGGCAATGACTTTTTTCTCGCTTGAAGACTAATTTTTACTGGTGCTTTGTTTTTGTTCTACATTATGACTCGTGCACATTCTACCAGTACAATGTTTCCTGGGTGTTTACCAAGTTCCTCCATTTGCCGAGACTCCCATGATGTTGTTCAGAGAGTCGTCGCTGTCCTGCAAGCGCTCGCTGATGTAGTTGGCAGCGAAAATTTCTTGAATGCTCTTATGGTGGAACGTGTAAGTTACGTGCAATTTCGCAGAGAGTGGCCTTTGCATCTTCAGTACCACCGATAGAACAACTTCAGAATCGATCTCTTCACTGCGTTCCCAAGTTTTAAGTTTTTTCTTGCACTTCCTTTTGGTCGAACGTAACTCATTTTTTGAGAAAGTTACAATGTTGCCGTGAAGAAACTCCAATGCGGCAGCACCGATGACAGAAAACTGGTCGTCTACCAAGACTTCTATGTTTGGATAGTTCGCTTCCGATAGTCTGGCAAGGACAAGTTCCTTGTACAAGCGAAGAATATCATGTGCTACATCCCCGGGCGTTTTCCAATAGGAAATTGTCTCTGGTAAGTATTTATGAATATGGCAGAATAGGATCAAGTTAATGGGTTCTGTGAACAAATTTCGAACATCTTGGCTGAGTGATGAGAAGCTACTTGTCATTTGTCCTGTCTGGGCACCCTCGACCAAAGCCAGCTCATACCTCCTTAAGAACGCTAGTTGGTCCTCCAGCTTAGTGATTGGCATGATCTCGTACTCGGTGAAACAGACATCGTTGCTGGACAGGAGCGGCTTCAGCTTCTCCATGCCGTGAGGACGAGTCGTGATTAGCACACGGCAGTTACTTCGCCATGACTTTTTGATGATTTCGTTCACGACTCTCCTTGAAACTGAGTTGACTTCGTCGAAGCCATCGATGATAAATAAAACATCGAGACGCAGAATGGCCTTAAGGACGTTTTCTCTGCCTAAATCGATGCATAGATCTTCGAAATGTTGCTCGATTACACCACTCAATGTTTTCGTGGTACGGTCCCTGCACTCGAACAAGATGAGTTGGTTGAATGATCTTAAGTGATCTACATTCACTTGCTGCAAATCAAAAAATTGGAGCAGGATATTTTTTAGAAGAGTTGTCTTTCCGGCACCAGCGACGCCCGTTACCACGACGAATTTCTCAGGAGATTCGAAAATTTTAGAGTAGGAGATTATGTCTCCGCCAGCGCCTTCTCTCACCATCACGTCGAGGGCGTGAAACACGGCTTGACGCTTCACCTTGTCGTTGTTAAAGAGTAACACTTCACTAGATAGTCGCGCTTCCCAGAGGAGTTTCACGGCATCTTTTCCTCTTGTGGTCAACTTTGAGCACCAATAATAAACGTTTTTCGTGTCGAGAGACAGCACCTTTGCGATTTCTTTGTTTAATTCTTGTTCCTCATCCACAAGCTGGCGATGAGGAAGAGAATAGAATTTGCCTGCTTCTGCTACAATCTCTAAGAGCGCCGTAGTGAGTTCACCGAATTTTTGCGGATTCACTGTTTCCGCATAGTTGTGCATGACGTCGTTTCGCAGGTTCTTGAGCACACGCAATTTGTTTAGCATTTCACTAAATTCCCTCACACCATCATCATCACATTTAAACAGATTCTCAAGCAGACAGAAAAGATCCGTGACGTCTAGACTGTCAGGATTCCGTGCAGTTTCTAGAACACTCCGCGATATTCGACAAGCATCTTTCCATTCCTTATTAGTGAAGAGATTGCCTCGTCTACGCTTCATGTACTGTCTGTAGGTCTCGACGTTCTGCTTGTCTTTGCATTCTTTATCAACTATTAACTGCATGATTTTGGGACTCAGGTACAGGTTGCCCACAATATTGCGGTAAATCGAAAATATTTCACTCGGCAGGCTGACTACTGCGGCACCTGACATTGAGATGGGAGAAGGCCCTGGAGACATCGGGTACGTGAAAGCCATTTTCAAGATTTGCAAAGAAGATTAAATGCAATTTTTAAATCATATGCTCGGATTTAGAAATTTACCAGGCATTCCTAAGAACTTGTGGAAAGAAAATTAGGATTAAAATCATATTGCGGCGTTTCTCTGGTCACTGATGTGCATCCACACACCACAACTGTTGCAGTCAATGCGGACAGCAAGACTGAGGACTGCATGAGGACGCCGAGATAATCCAGAAGCTGATAAGGCCGGACATTCACACTCAGACAAATTAGTGAGTCCAAATAGTGATGAACTTTTTGCTCTTATATTGGTCATGTTGACCCAGTGTAACCCGAAAAGGGTGTATATCAGTGCTACGTTGGTGGTTAAATATATGTCACTATTTTGACCAAATTAGCCATTCATTTATCTGCGTGCCTGAGTGCAGTTTAGACGTCCTGTACTGAGATGACGCAACGCAGTTGCTGTAGGACGGTGACCAGCAGGATGTTCAATTTTCCTGCCTGAGATTTGTTTCTTTTGTTAATATGTTTGACGAGCCTCTATTGTTAACCCAGTTATCTGCAATAGATATATGTGTTCAATGAGAATATTTTATAATGATAATCATCATGAAGGTCATATTTACAGTTCCGCAGTAAACTGTCCTGTGTTTAATTGCATTATTCACGAGGAAATAAATAACCTTCGAAAGGCTTTAATTCATTAATAATTTTAATATATATTAAATTCACTGCGTAAAATGAAAATTGATCTTGCATTTGTAAAGGAAATTATGTTATTTATTTCGCGGTAAGAAACGATGAAAGTTAAAGGTTCTTTACATTTAACTTAGGAAAGTCGGCATAGTAAACTTTTACTTGGTAAACTCAGTAAACTGAAGTTCTCAGGGTCCCTCTCGATCATACAGAATTTAAAAAATTAGCTCATTAGCACTTCTCAATGTTTCCAACTATAAAAAGTTTTACATGTAACTAGATTGGGAGACTAGAGTGAAGCTCCGTACCTTATTGACTGCTTCTCCTCTTGCCCAGCTGTGTACAGAGCGCATATTTGCATTATTCATCCTCTTCTATGCATTGATTTTTTACGACTGCATTAAAGGTGTGATGAAAATATCTACATATAGAGTGCAGATTCAATCAGCAGGCATCGTAAATTTATATCCGAAATATTTATTATCCACAGCAGCGATGCATTTACATTCCTCGTATGAGATAGGACGTCTCGGCTCTTTGTTCGTCTATGATAATTACATTAACATCAACAATGATTGCATGCAGCCTAAGAATTGTTACTCATGGAGCTGCTCAGATTCCTGTTCAGTTAAAACATAGCGAGACGTTTGCAATACTTGTGCTAGGAGAATAATATCGACATCAAATTATCTTTTGCGTTCAATAAAATCTGCATGACGTTAATGCGTTTCTTGTTATGAATAAACAGATTTTGTTGTCATTCCCTCCTGACTGCTACAGGATTTAAGCCGCCGCAGTGGCTTGCCACACACTCACTACTCGCTCCGGCTCAGGTGGGTGGTGTGACCCGTGCATCTGAGGTGGTACTGTTGTATTATTATATATTATTCATATATTGTTTTTATTTTTTCCTACAATAAAATGCTTATGTGCATCATGTAGGAAGTTGTTGATTAGATTTTATTTGCTCTAGTATTAATGCTAAATTCGCCTTCTGAATTTGTACTTCAACCATGCGTATGCGTTCACTTAGGCGCGTTAAACCTGGATGGGAATGCAAGCGCGGTGTGAGTCCCTCAAGGTATAACTCGAGCTAACGTGTTAATTTGTTCCAGTGAAAATATCCGCCCCTGGAAGACGAGATGAAGACGTCGGTGCTGTGCCTCCTGCTGCTGGTAGCTGCTACTGGCGCTACTCTGCCTGCTGCGGACTGGACTGATCAGGTGGTATATATATCGATAATTTCTTGTTGGACCTTATTGAACAGCATTCAAATTTTTGGAATTAATTTCCAGATTTTACTTCAATCCGTCTTTTCAATCTTTGTAAATTATCCGCTTTTCTTCTTTTAGACTTATGATTGATATATTATAAAATTATTTTCCAATTAAGAATTATTTATTAATGTAAGATATCAATGAAAAATTTCATCTCGACTATCGAACTAATATACAATTTATAGTGTTGACTATTATGGAGCCATTTGTCTGTATCGTTTTGATTCCTAGTTTCTCCAAAAATGTCAGTAAAAAAGATCTCTCTGTAAGATCAGTTTGAAGTCATTAGTATCCAACATACTGGCAGTCTAGAAAAAAAGGCTCCCAGTAGAAATACGTGCAATAAAATATGGTTACCCTAGGTCCCCCTGGAAATAACTGTTAGATATGAGGTTCCCCTAAAAAGCATATATTGACTCCGTCCTTTGGTGTGGCAGAGCAACATCACAGTTTCGGCGCGCAGCGAATTGGCCGGAGGTGAGATTCAATATTTGTGCCTTATAACTGTCCGATATTATTGTACTAACTTATTGCATTGGATTAATTGCATCTATTGTATTTTACACATTTTGTGTAACGCATTTCTGAGTTTCAAAACGTTATCTGGAGAAAAATATGAATGTTTATCGTCAGGTACGTTAGTAAAGCTATAAAAAAGTGAACGAGTTTTTTTTTAATTTTAATTTCTGTTAAAGTGAATTGCAATTTAACAAATTAGCCTATTACGAGCAAAATAAAACGGCGTAAATTCTATTTAGAAACTCAACTGCTTAACTTTGAAAATGTAAAGCTACTGCAGATTTTGGTTTCAACACTGCGGGCAGGGTGGCCCTGTGACTACAGTTCAGAGTACCGAGTTATGATAACAGCAACGAGTTGTAGGTATGTGATTTTACAAATCTAATTTAATAAAGAAGCCAGAATATTTGATCTAATATAAATTATCGTCTACTCGTGTTCCAGAAGGAAGGGATGTATGCACTGGAGGATGCAGAATAAATCTCAATGCCGTGAGTCAATCATACGACACTTCAGTGCTGATATTGTTCAATCATACGACACTTCACTGCTGATATTGTTCAATCATACGACACTTCACTGCTGATATTGTTCAATCATACGACACTTCACTGCTGATATTGTTCAATCATACGACACTTCAGTGCTGATATTGTTCAATCATACGACACTTCACTGCTGATATTGTTCAATCATACGACACTTCAGTGCTGATATTGTTCAATCATACGACACTACACTGCTGATATTGTTCAATCATACGACACTTCAGTGCTGATATTGTTCAATCATACGACACTTCAGTGCTGATATTACTTGTCATTTAATCTAAGTTAACAAAATTGGAAATCTGAAAAAAATATTAGTACTACTACATAGACTTCCATTCAAAATAATTTCCTGTGTTTTTACAGATCTTTGACGAGTCTACACATATGAACCGATATTTGTGTAGCATCAGCCTAATATGACTATGACACATATACGTCGTCAAAATAACTTTCCTTGTTTCACACTAGTGAGGTTTTCTTTGTGATGCCCATTTGCAGTGTACCATGCTTTAACAAACTCCACGTTATTATGATTCATACAATCGTTATTAATTAAATACTAGCACTAATTAATTAAATACTAGCACTAATACATCGCTACCAACCATTGCACCGCAGTACGGCTTCTACATCTTGGGCACGCAGTCGCCGACACTCCCCACCGGCCAACAGATCTGCTTCACCATGACGAGAGTGCCTCTGTGCTACTGCTGCGCGCCGGGCGGCCTCATCTGACAGCCCACCATACCTTCTCAGCCACTATCATATGTTGGAATTCTTGGGCTGTCAGATATTAAAGAAGTGGTACCTAGAAAATTGTCTTGATTTCTTTAGTGTAATTTCAGATAACTTCAGCGACAAGTAAACGAAACTCGCTACAGGATCGTGTTATTCCTCATGGAGAAAATTCTGACAAGTTTTGGTGTTTATTAACGTTAAAACTTGTTTATGCTGATATGATTGCGAAATGCAATACTGATAGGAAGATAACTGAAAGATTTCGCACTGTGAGTATTTGGCCGAGGCATCGACAAGGGCCATTTATTGGACACTAAGTTAGTCAATTCTAAGTATTTAAAAAGGTAATTTTTACAGTAGGTTTCTATGGCCCATCATGTCGACTTGAGGATGTAGGAGCACATGATCCTGCCTACACAGCAATAAAACAGGGCAGGGTGGCCCAGTGGTTAAAGTTCAGAGTACCAGGATTGCCGCAGAGAGTCGCGGGTTCGATACCAGCTCTGTGCGCCAGTTTCTGGTCAGAATCGGCAAGGAGGCCGGGCGGTTAAGCACAGCAGAATTGTAGCAGTGAGTTGCGAGTTCGAGACTCGCAAAATGCTGTGAATGTTCTGCGATGTTAAGAATCGGCGACAGGCCTTCGGCCTAATAAACACTGAAACCGCTATTATTATTATTAAAACCTACCACTGAGAACCACAGACATAGCAGGTCCGTACAGTGGCACTCAAGTGTTGAATGCTACTTAGCCACATTGCTAACATGCCAGCCAATTCAACATGCCACAACAAACATGATACTTCTCCCAAAATTTTTACCAAGTTTGACACGTTTTACTAAATTAAAACTTTATTCCACCATTACCTGTGGAAATGGTTAGAATTCCCCAGTTTATGAACCTCTGCCTCTCGGCCTTCAGCATGATAAGTGTGCGATGTACATACCAAATTCTATTTATAGTGGCTTAATACGTGGGCCTATTTATTCGTTGTTATAATGGCTTAATATGTGGGCCTATTTATTCGTTGAGCACTGCGTAAAAGTGTAATTTCTTATATAGTGATGGATAAATTGGGTTATAAATACAGTAATGAATGAATTCTTCGAAGGACAAAAAACCAGAGAAGGTAAACATCGTTTTTCCAGCTGCATATTGGATATTAAATCACTGCACGCTATAAATTCAGATAGAAAGCTGAAAACACGTGCAGACTATATCGTAAGCTCAGGTTACCCGAACGCCAACACCCATTTAAGAAAAATCCACGTTCAACTGAATATCGTGCCAACGCACCAATGGACGGCGCAGGCATAAGCTGAGCCATGAAAACTTGGATGTGACGAGACAGGAACACAAGCGCTGGGAAACATCAGTTGCACTACGCGCTACTCCACCTAGTAAATAAGTTCAGTTTCGGGAGCCTTCCAACTCGTCGTACCGCCTTAGTCTGTCGTCGTGGTTCTTAGTGAAGTTAATCGAGAAGAACAGCATGCATCATATCTCCTACTATACAGTTACTATGACCTCGATCGCATTGTTCAGCACAGCTGATCTGCTAGAGCAGAGCCTCTCGTTTTCGAGCTGCGTTGGTGGGCAATGACTAAAAAGACTTGAATTTCAGAGAACAAGCATTGAATTGTTTTGATGAAATTTAGAAGCCAAATAGAAATCGTGATCAGAAATACAAACTTCACACGCCTGTATTAAAATTGGACTCTCCCCATTACATGGAGTCGCAACTCTGCCATGTTCCGAATTGTATGCACGAGTTTCGCTGGTTTCTCGGGACTAAAAATTCAAGTCACTACGGACGAGAATAATTGAAATATTACTCCAGGTTATACGAAGACGAGAAGCCATTACTGTCGGTAGTGTAGTAGTAGTAAAAGATTTACTAGCGCTTCAGATAGCTATCTATTTCGCGCCGGAGGTGAGGTCTTCAGCTACGTCAAAGATGTTTGGTCTCTTCCGTCTTCAAGGCTTATAGCCTGATCCATTTTAGGCGCAGGGGCTGGGCGGTATATTCCCTGCTCATGGAGCGAGGGTCCGCTCCGACTTCATATATCAACTCCAGCGTAAGTTTAGTGAGGCTTGGTCTAGGTGATGGCATGGTGCGATTATAGTCTCGCTAAAGGCGGTGGTGCAAGTGCATATGACCGACCGGCGGTCGGTTACTGTCGGTTCTGGTCGGGGCTCGCATCGTAGACACCTCGAGCCTAAGAGCACGGAGACCTGCTTCACTGTCCATCACGGCCACAATTTGTGCGGGGACTGTAGCTAATCTCACTCCTCTGTTCTAATTTGCCACAGCCTAGCTGCTTGTGCCATATATTGGCCGTGGATACCTGGCCGCGGCCTGGCCGTCGATAGCATACTTGGCCATGGCCTAGCCGACGACTGCCTAACTAGGCCGCGGCCTGGCCGTCGATAGCCTACTTGGCCATGGCCTGGCCGACGACTGCCTAACTAGGCCGCGGCCTGGCCGTCGATAGCCTACTTGGCCATGGCCTGGCCGACGACTGCCTAACTAGGCCGCGGCCTGGCCGTCGATAGCCTACTTGGCCATGGCCTGGCCTACAACAGAAATTTCAAGGCTCGTTATGGTCTCACGAGGGAAAACAGGCATAACTATCCAAGAAAGGATTTAATGGAAAGGCATAAAACATAAAATAATCTAATGGTAATATTTGCGCGAAACAATCGTCTGGTAATAGTAGCATAAAACAATCTTTTGCTAACATAACTCCTTATTTTAATACTGCTCATCGGGCGCGTACAATTCCTGGGGAGGCAGCAGGTCATTGCAGAAAGCCACGATGCGGTCCTCCGACGACCCTCCCTGCAACAGTTCATTATTCTTCATTACTCATACCAGCTTCTTTATCAGGCTGACTAATTGCAGCTTTCTTTGTAGCCAGAAATTCAGCATTAATTAATATCCCATGCAACCATTGTTTCGGTGAATGAAAATAAAAAAAAATATAACTCAGTACTCACTGCAGTGAGTGACAGAGAGCGCATTTTCTCGTCGACGAAAACGTGAAGTCACGGACGGACAGACAGACAGACGGACATGGTGTGCACAATAGTGCATTTTTTCCATAAATGAGAAAATGCGCTAAAAAGGAACACAAGTTAGGATTCCCCTGAATAAAAGCAAAATGATTTTATTCCAAAAGAAGAGTTAGAAGAGTCGTGACAGACCATAACGTGCATGGTGTCCAGCATACAGAGCAGCTCCTTCATGCCCACGCGGAAGCTGCCCACGGGGATGCGACTGCACACCTCATCCACCTGGCAATAGTTAGCAGCTCATTAGTATTAGTACAGGTGGGTTACGTCACAGGTTAGCTAAGCCACAGGATATTTGAGTCAAATCTTGATCACTTCACAGGTATTAGCCCCAACAAACACGGCTGGGCTAACTTAACCCCCACGGTCGCGTGCTGTTCCTACATCATGCGTCGGCATCACAATCTTGTTACCCTCAACTTTTCTAATGCGATTACCGATCTATGTAGAACAACGCGTCTCTAGCCAAGTGATGTAGCATACGGTCAGATAAGGTAAAGCGGTCAGATGTAATAATAAGCGGTCAGCGGTAATAATGTAGTGTACGGTCAGATTATTACGGTAAAGAAGGGAAATAATTCTTGCATTACTTTTGAGGGTAGAGTTTCCTCCAATACCTCCAAAAAATGATCATTTCCAGCTGCGCTGTAAGCATCTCTAAAAGTCCATGTTTCTTAAGTCATTGCCAGAATTCGGAAGCGCTGGACCTTATCTTTAAAATGATGTATCATAAATAACCCAACCGATGTCAAAACTATTGTTATCTTTATGGTCAAACTATTGATCGTCAGAAGAATTTCATTGCAAAAGAAACATTGAAGCTTGTCTTACTGGTTGACTACAACACGTCATTGCTCGTTCGTCACCTCCTGCAGGGACATGGACTTGGACTGCTCCAAGACGAGTCTGATGTCATACACGTCCTCGATGCGCGGCACCTCCAGCTTCTTCGAGAACCTGGCGGGCAGCTGGCCGTCCAGCGCAGCATGATTCTGGCTCGTGCACATCACCAGCAGCTTGCGATCCTGTCATGTTCCACTTCTTAGTCGCAACAAACAACAACAACACACAACTTTACGAATATATAGCAATGTTTAAGACAATGGTACATGAATGGGAAAATTATAAATAATCATGAAGTTTATTTTTTTAAGTTTTAGCTTTTAGCATAAAAATGTCCTAAAAATTTATTTCCTAAACGCACTATTCAGCTTTGTAGTAATCTAACAATAGTGTTATGCGCCACCAAGGTATTGCAAAATACAGACCACATTGTGTTGGGATTTTAAGTTAACAATATTTTACCACATACCCAAGTTACAGGTAATAAAACACTACATGAAATAGTAGTTACATTACACAACGTAAAATAGAGAATAGTTTTGTGGGCACAGTACTCCAGTTCACCTCGGGAGGCGTGTACTTGAGCAAGTCTCTGACGGCGCTCAGCATGACGGAGGAGCTTCCTATCATCTCATCCACATCGTCCAGGATTATGCAACTCAACCGTGACCTGCTTGAGTCCTCGAATATCTGAAACAAAACGTTCAACTTCTTGAACAAAATCTTTACAATTTTTTTGTTACACTATTTTGCAATAGAATTATGGTGCACTTGCAACCACTATCATTATCATGACCAAATTACCTCATCACCTTGTTGCTACGCACCTTCTTCATGAACAAGCACTTAGCAGTCTCAGAGAGTCCAATCATATCAAAGGGCGTGAGGAATTTGACGGCATTGAAGTTGCCCTGCTTGGCAAGGTGAGCAGCCAGGGCAGAGGTGCCCACCTTGGGCCCACCATGTATCAGCATGCACAGTAGCCTGCTTGTCTTTTGCGACCTATCACGGGAAATTTATTAGTTAAGTATGCTCTATTTATATTCTTGACTGCAACAACCTGGAAGCAAGAAATATTAAAATGTTATATATTTTAAGAAACAAACAAAAAAATTACGAATAGAATTTTGCTGAAAAAGCAGTGGTTTATGCATCTGAGAATACAAAGAACAGAGTCGTGGAAGTGTAATCATGAGAAAAAATTTTCAAGTCAATCATTTGGGAACATTCAATTGTTATTCACAACAATGTTGGAATTGTAATACAGGTATCATTTTAACAATGAAAGCAATTATCAAGTTATTAATACAGCAATGACCAGCTCACTTTGACTGCTCAACAAAAATGTGACCCCTCTGCAGCACACTCTTGATTTGGCTCCATTCAATAATGCCCCGTTCAATGACAGTGTCAAGGGCATCGTGTCTAAAGCTCGGACTTGGCACCACAAAGATCATAGCTGGTTCAGTGGCTGGATCTTGACCTGGTCTTTGAACTTCATCACTCTGCTTTATTCTTCCTGTTGAAATTCAAAACCTTGTTAAAACTGTCAATAAATATTTAAGAAGTGGATATGAAAAGTTTTCATTCAAATGCAAAGAAGATTAATGATCATTTTAGGCAATGTCTTCTTCTAAAGTGGGTTTTGAGCATGCAGGAAAAAATGTCATGTACTTTAAACTTGAATTTTTTTTTGCAGTATATAGGTAACAAAAATTCACTTCATGCTGCCCTTAAATAAACTATAAAATAATTGAACCAAATAGCCAAAAAAAGTTGATGCCATCTGCTCTGAATATTGAAGGAGATAAAAATTCATGTGTTTTAACTTCAGGAGAAGAGTAAACCCTTTTAACCCTTACATTTTTACTTTTTTTAATGTTTCTTATGTTAGAAATTAGGTATGTTTTTTATTTCAAATCATTTTTTTTATATTCCAAGCTGCATTCACTTGTGGGATTTCCTTACAATCTGAAAAAATAAAGTCTGCTAAGCCTTTGATGGGGTGACCATGTCTGGTTACTATAGGAATGACATAGCTAAACATTTTGTAACATGAAATAAGTTGACATGAATAAAAAAATAAAAACCTGAATTTTAATTCAAGATTCAACAATATTATGCGCTTACCAGTATTAATTGCTGAGACGTGGCTGTTGGACTGATAACTACAAGCAGAGTGGTGCATTGCTTCTGAAGGCTGAGCTTCATCATTCTCTAACAGTGGCCAGGGATCTCTTTTTCTGACTGGGATCGATGATTTGACATGACCAATGGGTTGATCTGACATCAAAGCATGCTCCCTTTTCAAATGCTTTTTCGTTTTTCCATGGTGAATGAAAGAATCCTTCTTTGGCCTTAGCAAACAATGACATAATTTGCAATAGCCATATTCAGAACCATCAGAAGCTTTAGTGATCCATGGGAAGTCCTTTTCCCAAGCCTTGTGATATTTTCTTCCACATTTTTTCTCACCTTTTTTCTTTGGTGAGCTATTTTTTTCCATTTATAACTATAAATAGGATCTGCAAGAGAAAATAGTATTAACATCACTGATGATGATACATAGAATAATTGAATTATAACAGATATTGAAGTAAATCTTATATACATTAAGAAGGCAGTAAAGTGTACTAAAGAAGGCCATTGTTATAATTAGCTAAAAGCTTTATGTAGTAGTATCGGATTTTAGATATATTAATCAGTGATAAGTTAATAGATATCAATGGAGACTTTTACATTGATTTTGGTGCAGTAGTGTAAACAAATTAGACCTAAATTAATACCATATAGGTATTCACAATGATAATTGTGAAATGGTGACAACTATTTTGATACCAATTTAAATATGCATAATAATTATAGTAAAATTGTTGCAACAAATTAAATTTGATTTAAGAGGTCAACTTATCAGTTAGGATTCAGATTTAAGGCACAGGGAGCACACAGAGAGGCTTATATAAATTACACTCAAGAATTGATCAAACACAACCCTAGATGTCCTTCAACATTGATAATTGCAGAATAACCTGAAGAGAGCACTCAGCACACTCCTCAGTATGAAGTAGCTAAGATTACACAGCATTAACAGTGGGCAAGATGGCTGTAAATGTGGCCACAGCATATGACAGGCTGTTCAGCTAGTTCAGCTCACAGAAACAAACCAACAAATATACTATGATAAAACAGAACAGTGAATGACAGCATACTGTTAGGCTTTCTGATCAATGGCCTACAAGGTGCAGTGAAATTCTTGATGGGAACCAGGCTGCAAGGACTAGTTCAGCCACAGCACGATAAATATAAGTTAAGTGTTTAATAAGTGTTTCAATATATAAGTGTTTCAATAAGTTCACCAATGCAAGAGAATAAGAAGATAGTCTTGCATGAATAAGTAGCTATAAACAGTTTGCTAGGTCTTTGTATAGGAATTATCAATGCATCCTACATAGGTTGGGCAACAGTGCATGGAGGTGGCCTGGTCGAAGTAGTGTGGTGAATATGATTGAATCAATGTATCAGGGAGTCAAATTTATTAATTAGGAGCCAAATTAATATATTATGCAGTCAGAACTAATTGAAATATTACAAAACTAGAAATAGTAGCATAAACTTCAACATTTTTCCAATCTATGTAGCATAAAGGAAGTTAAGAAATCATACATTTATTAGCTCTAAAAATCACAAAAAAATGTGGAAAAGTGATATTTCAATAAGGTACCATAAAATGGGGTAACTTTGACAACTTTTTTTCAAAATGATGCCATTTTTTTACTAGATAAGTTAAACTTAAATTGAAACATGCAAAATACAGGTCTGTACTCTAGCTTTACTCACCATAAATTGCTGGCTTCTGCCTCTCATAGTTTTGATGTAATTTCAAAAAAAGTGATGGTCTTTGTTACCCCAGCTCTTGGGGTTTCTTTGACCGGGTGGTAAAATCAATTTTATGTTTTGGTAAAATAACTCCAGGTTTTGGTGCATTGTAGTAGAACTCTTCTAGTTACATATGCAAATGACAAATTTGTGGGAAGTGTCATAGTTTGCAAATTGGGGGCGCTGCCCCCAATGGGCGAAATGTGACCACCTAATGGCAGCCATGATGGGGTAACATTGACCGGCTTGGAAATTAAGTTAAAATTACCATATATAAGACTCTGTAGAGTCAGAAACACAAAGAAAAAAACATTAATAGGCGTATCAAACATAAAATATGTTTTATAGGTACCTGTGGTAATTTTAACTTAATTTCCAAGCCGGTCAATGTTACCCCGTCACATAGTGGCAAAGCAGAGAGTTTTTTAGACTCTCCCTCAAGTTCATTTTTGAGTCCTACATGTAGACCATTAAAGTATCCTGGATACCAGCATTATCATACTTAAGAAATTGGTTTAAATCTTGAGTAAATGAGGAAATTAAAAATGAACTGATTCTAAAAAAGCTCTGGTTTGCCACTATGCCCCGTCACGGCTGCCAATAGGTGGTCAAAGTTTCCCCATTGGGGGGCAGCACCCCCTATTTGCAAACTATGACACTTTCCTAAAATTTGTCTTTTGCATATGTAACTAGAAGAGTTCTACTACAATGCATCAAAACCTGGAGTTATTTTACCAAAAAATAAAAAAATTGGAGGGGGTACTCCGACAGGCTTTAAATAATAGCTCTTCGTGGGTCACATTACTGATTTTTTAACCTATTAGATATGCAAACTTTTAAAATCTTTCTATTGTGTTACGTAGCCTCAGTATTAGGCCTTTGATGGCCATTGACAAAATTTTTCTATGTCAAACCGTTTTTGAGTTTTGGGGGTTTTTGTTAAAAAAACAAAAAGTGGTCAAAGTTACCCCGCCGGTCAAAGTAACCCCATTTTACGGTATGTACTTAAGGCACCAGAAAAGGAGGGAGATGGGTGAAGGCAGGGAGGGTGGCCCGGAATGCTGCTGCCTCCACAGGACTGTCCCACAGTGAGGAGATGCTGAGGGACATGGAAGAAGCGGGGCAGGCAAAGAGATGCTGGATGGACTGGAGGGATAGCTGCACTCCGGGCAGGCAGAGCTAGGGGAGCATCTGATCCTGGCGGAGTAGGAGACCAGGGAGCTGCAGTATCCCGAGCAGAGCATGAGTAAAGTATCTTGGATACCAGAATTATCATACATAAGAAATCTGTTAAAATCTTGAGTAAATGAGGAAATTAAAAATGAACTGATTCTAAAAAATCTCTGGTTTGCCACTATGGCCAGCAGGTTTTCCAAAAGTGGCAACTTATGATTATGTGGCAATGGCATTGATGTTAGAATAGATGGCCTTATTGGCCAGCCTACAACAAGAGCTTTCTACTTAAATTCTACTGGTGATAAAATTTTCAAAATTAGTTTATGGGAAAGCTAGAAATGATAGTTTTTTCACAAAAAAATGCTAAAAATTGGTCTATTTTTGGGATTTGATTGAATTTGAATGGTGGAAAAAGTTTGTAGCCTAGGCTTTTTCAACTTTATTGGTACTTGGTACTGGTAGTTGGTAGTTGGTACTCCACTTAGCCTATATTTATATGGTAGGTTGGTAGGCCCTATTTTTTCTAGATTTTTCCATAATTGGTATAATTCAGTAAAAAGCTTTTCTTTTATGCAAGTTTAATTAAAGGCCAGAGCATGTTTTTAATTAATACCTAATCTTCTTTTTCGTTCTTTCAATACCTAATATAAGTAGACTAGTGAGTAGGCTAGTGAGTATCTTGGATACCAGCATCATCATACATAAGAAATTAATTAAAATATTGAGATGAGGGAATTACTAAAAATGAACAGATTTAAAAAAAAATCTCTGGTTTGCCACAACACAATGTCAATGACACTGTCACTTCAACTTGTCCAGATTTTCAATTGCCTAGCCAGAAAAGCTGAATTTTAAAATACTGGATATAAATAACTAGTAGTACATTACAGGCTAAAAGTTACACTTTCTACATAAATGGCCCGAAACGGCCAATGTAGTTTAACCGGCCACCTCAAATGGGCAACGGCACAAATAGGGGAACTTGGCCTAAAAATGGCCTATATCATATATGGCAACCTGTTTCGGCGGCCCTTCTTAGTGTTACCATTTGGGCATGAGTGTTCACTACCACTTGGCGAAATTTCAACAATATTGTTTCAGAAAACATCCACGGTAAAAACCAAGATGCACGGATTTGTAAAAAAATATAAATCTGTACTCACTGCAGTGAGTGACAGAGAGCGCAATTTCTCGCCGAAGAAAACGTGAAGTCACGGACAGACAGACAGACGGACGGATATGGCGAGCACGATAGTGCGTATTTTCCATAAATGAGAAAATGTGCTAAAAATGCTCGTATCTAATATATTTTAGCCAGCGAACCCAAAATGCGCTAGTCATGTACATTGATGATTGAGGTATAACATAACATAACATAACATAACATAGTGATGTCGGCTCTGAAGTGTAGGCCTGATGTGGCCTGTCGCCGATTCTTTTCCATTTCGTGCCTTGTTCATAGATCTAAACTCGTGTCATTTGACCGGATCTTTTCATGACTGGCGATAGTTTGAAGAAAGACGGCAAAGTTCCTTCGTTCAAGGTTTTTTGAAAGAATACTGTCAATGGGCCGGCCAGAACGGATGCTAATTCTTTGAGCAATCTGGGATGGAAGCCGTCTGGTCCACATGACTTGTTGGGATTTTGAGCTACCAGGCGCTTGAGAACCTCTTCTTCAGAACCTCCTCATATGTCAGAGTGATGTACCCAGCTGGGTACATATACCCATGGTTGAACTATATAAGGTTGACCCACGATGATTTCCGTCTTTCAGGTCAGCTTTTTTGTTACGTCACGTAGATCGAGAAACGTAAACAAACCCGTCATTCCCATGACGGATTGGTTGACTAGTTTGACTACATTTCGGTGATTGGTTAATGCCCGTGACGTCACTGAGATCAGTGACGTCACAAACGAACAACGAACTACATCCGCAAAAACGGGTTTCTGATGGGTCAACCTTATACTGGTTCAACCATGCATATACTATACTCGCTCTGCATTAGTTCGATTCTATATCACCGAGATCCTAGCATCAAAAATCATGTAGACTTGTGTCACAAACTTTAAAAATGTGATTAATACAACTGAGTGAATGAGTACACTGTCAATTACCTCTAATGAGCCTCACAATGAATCCTCCCAAGATATGCAAATAATGATTAAAGCCTATTCTATCGCATCGAATCGGTTGTTGTTGAACTTGTTGTTGGCAGCTTGAAAGTGAGGAAGTAGCCGCACGACGACCACTTGTTAAGCATGGACTCAGAATTTACTTGGAAGGCATCGAATTAGGATCTCATTTAGATGCAGCTTTATTTCTGAGTAGGTCAAATACTTCTCCCTTGACCTGTTAGCGGACAGCAATTAAATAAGCGTATATATGTGCCAAATTCTTATTATAGTCGGATCTTGTATGCATCTCTATTACCTGGATCAGAAGAT